ACCCTCCCCACCTCACTGCAGCTTCACCACCACACCACAATAGGTCCCTGTGCATATATAAGTAGTAGTTTAGTATATATATGTATAATATAATATAATAGACTGCTTTGTTTGTTTGTGTTAAGACCGTGCACAAAGGGTAGGACTGATTCCGAGGGGCTTGGCTTCAGCTCGTGCGCTGTGCCCCTTACCCGAGTATGTGCCCTTAATTTCAGAATGATGTCCGAAGAAAGTCCAAGGACGTCCGAAGGATGTCCGAAGCGCGGGAAAATTCGGAAGGACTTTCCGGACGAGTGCAAGTAACTTCCGGACGAGTGCGGGAAAGTTCCGGAGGAACTTCCGGAAATTACGATGAGGTTTCGTCCTGATACGGATACGTGTAATGGCTACTTATGACAAGTCCTAAGTAGAAGCAAACAGAGGAAAGGCTGCAAGGACAAAGTCCGAAGCAGAATAGGTCCGGAGGACCGCGGGAAAGTTTCGGACAAACGTCCGGAAACTTCGGAGGGTCGGATGAGCGGATAAGCGGAGCTCTGGCCTAGGGAATTTCTCCCTAGGCCCGAGATGGATATTGACTAAGTCGATAGACTAGAACTGATATGAGGACTTAGAGTGAGATCTAGTGCGAGGACTAATATGATATTCAGACTGAGGAACTACAGGACATATACAAGAGTTTATATACTAAGGAAATAACGGAAAGATCAGTAAGCAAGCGTCCGAGGCTATGTATGAAGCATAAGCAAAGTTATCAAGCGCGAGTCGGAAATGAAGCATAGGTTAACGGATCAGTAAGCATACCGGTAGTAAGTATAACCGAGATACCGAGGACAAGGAATACCGAATAGAGGAATAGGCTGTGTTAACGTTATATGCACAGGAATTGAATTAGGAAGCTTATCGTATATCGGATCGGATCGGACCGGACCGGACATCCGGATGAGATGCGTGGATTGAGGTATGGAGGTAAATGTATGTGGATGTGGATGTGGATGTGCAGGGGTGCAGGGATCCGGATGGATAGAGGACTGGAGACATGAATAGGGTGTCCGAAGGTCCGGATGAGGCGTGGGAATATTGTCGGATGTAGGTCCGGAATACGGGATATGACAGTTTGTTTATGTGACTGCTCCTCCTCTAGGGGCAATTCAACATAGGGTAGGGTATAGAACACTTTCGCATTTTTGCCCCTTTGGTGGGGAAGTGTTCTATGACATCCAGAACATGTTTATGAGCATATATGAGTAGATTCCCATCTTTATTTCACCCCCTGAAGTGTCCTACATCAATAGATATAGCATATATGCAAGAAAATACAGAATATGTTCCCATTTAATTATTTCTAGGTGAACAGACTTGTAAAAATAATTCCCAGCATCTTTTCAACAATAGGAACAATGTATCAGGAGCACAGGACCATAGGACAATACCCTGCTGCATGGTGTGGCCCCCCTCCCCTGGTGGTTTGCCCCCTGTGAAAATTTTTCCTATAGGACCGGACCTAAATTGAGGTAGGGGGTCTATTCCTATGTATATTTGGAGTATATTTATCATATAGCTGGCCCAGGACACACATAGGATCTTGCTACATGAACAAAAACATAGAAAATCACACTTTTGACATTTCAGATGTTTTCAGTATCTTACTCTTGCATAGATGATCCAGCCTGTTCATGTATCATTAGAATAGCATATATACTTGCTTTTTATGACAAGGATCAGCCCTACATAGGGCGCAAATTTGAGATCTAATGTAAAGAGGGTATTTCTACTGATAAGGAGCCCATATTGTCAAACCATCGAAATTTAATAATCAGACACCTGGAGTAGGTTCAGAATACATTCACTATCATATACCTAAATTTACAAAACAATCCAACAATAATGGAGTGTTGAGGAAGTGAAATAGATAAGAAATTGACTGTGGGAAAGTTCAAAGACCCAAAACATCGAAAATGGTCAGCTGGGCAGTGGTAGGACTTTAATGCTGGGTCAACTCAGATATACACCACATCCCTTCCACCACCCTCCAACCCTAGGGAAATATGTAGTATAGGTTCCTTTAGTAGTCTACCATGTATTCTACATATTTTCAATGAAATATTTGACCTGTACCATATATAAATGTGATTTTGTGTACAAAGATATCAATTGTCACTTTTCACACATATGTCATTTTACTTGTCATTCAGTCAGTCCTTCATGGATCTTTCTAAAACTTCAGATTCATCATTAGGGACATATATGAGAGGTATTCCAGGTATCTGATCACTTATCACAGGCATGATTACTATGTAGGTTTCTTATCAGTAGAAATACCCTCTTTACATTAGATCTCAAATTTGCGCCCTATGTAGGGCTGATCCTTGTCATAAAAAGCAAGTATATATGCTATTCTAATGATACATGAACAGGCTGGATCATCTATGCAAGAGTAAGATACTGAAAACATCTGAAATGTCAAAAGTGTGATTTTCTATGTTTTTGTTCATGTAGCAAGATCCTATGTGTGTCCTGGGCCAGCTATATGATAAATATACTCCAAATATACATAGGAATAGACCCCCTACCTCAATTTAGGTCCGGTCCTATAGGAAAAATTTTCACAGGGGGCAAACCACCAGGGGAGGGGGGCCACACCATGCAGCAGGGTATTGTCCTATGGTCCTGTGCTCCTGATACATTGTTCCTATTGTTGAAAAGATGCTGGGAATTATTTTTACAAGTCTGTTCACCTAGAAATAATTAAATGGGAACATATTCTGTATTTTCTTGCATATATGCTATATCTATTGATGTAGGACACTTCAGGGGGTGAAATAAAGATGGGAATCTACTCATATATGCTCATAAACATGTTCTGGATGTCATAGAACACTTCCCCACCAAAGGGGCAAAAATGCGAAAGTGTTCTATACCCTACCCTATGTTGAATTGCCCCTAGAGGAGGAGCAGTCACATAAACAAACAAACAAAGCAGTCTATTATATTATATTATACATATATATACTAAACTACTACTTATATATGCACAGGGACCTATTGTGGTGTGGTGGTGAAGCTGCAGTGAGGTGGGGAGGGTGTGGGAATAATTGATATTGTGGAGATTCCCAAAATGAGTGATGTTTTTGGAGTAGTGGGGAAATTCCCACAGTAGGTGGCTAAAAATGCGGTGTGGGGATAATGTGGGGAGGCCCTAATATGAGAAGCAATCTATTTTTAACTGATGTAGGCACAGTATAGCTAAAAATACAAAAAATGTGGAGTGTGGGAATAATGTAGGAGGCTGCAGGCCACCAAAATGGGTATGTTTTGTGAATTACCACACATGGAATATATCCTGGAGCTGAGTTTCAAAAATGCAAAAAATGCGGCTGTGTATGCTAGCATTTGGGATCCACCAAGGGATACATCCTTTTGGATATGGATCATTCAGCTAATGGATGTATCATAGTTTTAGGGCTATAGCCCAAAGTGATATATCCATCCACCAAGATGGGGTGTGTTTGACGACGGGGCTCTGCTCTGGGCGGGGCTGCTCACAGCACACTTTGCCTGGGTGGACTCTGTGTCCACCTCATTCGGGTCGCGCGGACCGGACCTGGAGGGAAGTCCAGCCGTTGGGCTGTCATTCCCATCATCTCCAGAAACAGGGTTACTGTTTCGAGACCTCGCGCCGTCTTGCTCGTGGGCGCGGCCATCAACGCTCATGTTCCTCAAGGAACGTGGGGAGGCTACTTCTAGTGCACTGGTAGGCATTATTCTTTTTCTTGACAATATCGTTTGGGTAGGGGAAGATTTTTGTGTTTAACAAGAGTCGAAGTTTTGGAGGGTGATCAAGCCTCTTAGACAACGACTATAGTAGGAATAGATTTAGATTTGAAGGCAGTTAAAAATATGTGGCATTCGTAGAACGTTCACACGAGAAAGAGTCGATAGGTTTGAATCGTCTTATGGTTCGAACAGGATAACTGTCCTAACTAAGTGTTATTCAAAAGGGGGGGGGGTCCAGATCAACTGCCCTACAAGTAAAGACGCTACGGCTTTAGGGCTCCGTGAAAAACTCGGCTCAAGGTTTATGACATGTTTTTAACTCAGGCCTATCCTCGAAGGGTTTTTGACACGAGTTAAAAACTAGTTTTTGACAAGTTTTTTACACAGTCTAGAAACCAGTTTTTCATGCTATTCTAACATGCTCGAGCTACGACAAAGTGAATGCCCATTGTACAGGCCCTCCCAAAGGCAACGTCGAAGTATCAGATTCATTCTGCAGAGGTGCTGTGTGGGAGCCTTCTACCAGCCTATCGGAGAGCAAGTCCAACAGGCAAGGTGAATCAAGATGAGCATCCTGACTGCCAACGAAAGTCTGACTGTCACTGCCCTGGCAAAGTGGGTCGCGTTCGAATCCTGGATCCTCTTCCTCGTCCAACCAACCATCATCATCAGACACTGGATCCAAATCTTCTTGAGTTTGTGCGCTGTCGGCACTGCGCTTCCTTTTTCGAGTGTGGCCATCAATTTCAGCCTCCAAATATGAACTCATCAGTTCCCAAAATTCGACAGTCAGTTTTTGTGTTGGCTTCTTGTTCTACAACACAGTAAGTGAGATACGTCCATGATATGGTATGAATATCACGCACACGTTTGGGGCCCATCAGAGCCCATTGACAAACTTGAACCTAACTGACTAAGGTAGAACTCTTTTGCGAGGTGCGTAACGTGGAATTGAGCCAAGTGATTGTTGATGCCGTCCGTTCATCAGCCATCGAGTTGACAGTAATGTCGAAGAGCTTAACAGCAAAGTACTGACAACTGAAAGTCAAGAGAGATATGAACAATATGTGGGATATTTGCATACCTATGACATGACTTGTTCCGAAGGCATCGGGTACATGATACATACAATATTTAGGGTTATTGACAGGTATTTGACACCTGAATATCGACCTCCGTTCTTGACATGTTTTTAACATGTTAAAAACACGTTAAAAACCCGGAGTGTTTTTAACATCGTAGTTTTTCACGGAGCCCTATACGGCTTATATACTGAAGGGTAAGAAGATCAGGAACTAAAAGGAGAGTGAAACTAAATGAGTAACTAGAGAAAATGATAAGACTAATATTTGGTTGCCATCGTCGACGTGTCGACGACGGCCTTTGACGAGCGTTACACCTAGTGAGGGGCCGCCCCCACTGGCCAAAAAACATAACTGTGGTCAAACTGTAGCCGTCACGGTAACAAATTGGCTCGACTTAGTTGCTCCTTAATATTTAATACTTGGGAGACAGTGGGCTACAAGTGGACATTTTCTAGGTATTTATGTTCGATGTAAAAACGCGATGTGATTGGAAAATTGACCTCGATCAAACCCTCCTCACGTATCTTCTCCCATGGTTTAGATAGGCTCTGTTCCAAGTAGACAGTCTCAAACCCGAACCCAACAGCAGGGGTGGATGAGCTGAACCGATCTACCAGTTGGCATCTGAGGGGGATTCCGGCTGACTTGCCCTGCATCTCCACAACCTCACGGACTAATCCATCCCTGACAAGCGAGTAGTTGATGATCCCAAGCGCATATCGATACCGACCGTGGCCCAACAAGTTGTTAACATTGATATCAATCTTGATGCTGGGATACAACAGGCATTCGAATGTGATGCAGGCACTCCCTGTTCCAGCAGCCTCTGAGAAAGGGAGACTGAGAGGGAGGATCACTAGAGGCACCCGCAAGCCGAGACTGGTCATAGTCATCTCCAGTCGCCCGCCACTATCCAACTTCAACTCTCGACGGTTCATGAAGCTCCTTGGAGATCGAGGAATAGCAGATGAAGTGCGATGTTTTGCAGCCTTGCCCTTCCAATTGAGGACAGAAGGGTCACCAGCCTGCATGATGGCTTCGATGAGCCTGCAGAATGCGCGGTCTCCTCCTTCTCCATATGCGATTTGCAGGCTGACGTCGAATATACCCATCAGAGAATATGCTACGTCTTCAACCCTCGTTGTTTTGCGTCTGGCTGCCCACACCATCCGCTCATCCACATTGAACGGACGTGGATTGAACTGGCAGTTGATCTTATCACGAGGAATACCAGTGGCCTTCTCCAGAGTCTGCAGTATTTTGGTGGTAGCTTTTTGTTTGTCGTTTGAATCATTCGTCATAGGCATCCAGTGCTTATTGAAGAATTTGATATGGAAGGGTGCAAGGAGTTCTTGCAATGTCCAGCCCCTTTCCGTCCATTCATCATGCAATATATCCTCGATGGTCGTGCTTTTTGCTAAATGGACGACGCAAATAGCAGAATTATGATACCACCGAAACATGGAGCGAATGGACTCGTCCAGCTCGGTACTGCTGCTCTTGTCGATACAGCAGGTATCTGACCATGCAAATTCCACGTTTTGCTTCCTGGCCTGTTCACAAAAGTTCTTCAGCTTCTTGTATCCAGGACCCGTTGCTGTGCCCGCCTTCATCTCTTCGTACGTTGGCTCTCCCGAATCCAGCCATCGGTGAGATAGAATGGCATATCTGACAACTCGGGAGGGCTTATAGATCCCAAAAAGATTCGTTTGAGGGACAAAGCTCCGAAAGTGCTTCCTTATATCATCACGCCCTACAAATGTCATGTCTGATAGGCGTATGAGGCGGATCGGGATGTGGTTCATCACATATTGGTCGAACTCCTCGAGGAGTCTTCCTGCGACATCACTCATGGCGAATGCCTGGAAGGGCCACAAAATGAATTATGATACGACAGCATTTTGATGATACATACCACACGTGCTACCACTTACCTGCGTGAACGTCAAGAGATGTTCCGCAGCTGGCCTGATGTTTGTTAGAGGTTTCTAGTAGGTCCAGCGGCTACAGACCATCAGGTGAGTTTAGCGTCTCAATTGTCCGAAAACGCATTCGGCTTACCTCGGGCGAGTATAAAATGCCTCAAGTAATGATAAAGATGGTGCAAAGAATGCAATACTACAACAAGATCACTACGACCTACTTGTAGGCCCTGTACTAGGTCTTGTTTTCGGTGTCTTGTCATTGATTTTCTATCGTATCTTCCTTTATCTTCCTGTGACAATCTAACCACGATATTATCGTGGGTTTGCGGGCAGTCTCCGGCTGGGTCACCTGCTTTAGTGGAACAGGACTTTAGAAGACTCTCGACAGTCCAAGCTTGAGTTCTCGGAACCCGGTTCCTTATCTATGTCACTACCCGGGACCTGTGACCTCGCACAATTTACCCCAACCGGTAACAAATCGATTCACAGTCCGTAATAGTACAATGACAATGGAAAGTTCAAGTATCAACAAATTCGACGTTACTGGATTCATGCACTGCATGTTCTATCAACCATAGTAAGAATTTCCTGGAACAGGCATGTCGCGAGGCGCGATGTAGTTCAAGTACAACGCGTACTGCCTCTCGCGTTCCTTGGCCTTTTTCCTGATCTTCTTTTCCTTCTTGCGCCACTTCTTTTCCTCCTTCTTCTCTCGGCGCCTTCTCTTGGATTCAGCGAGATCAACGCCGCGACCGTAGTACTCGTCCTCAGACTCCGAAGAGAGAGAAGAAGATTCTGACGAATCAGAATCAGAATCAAAGTCGAGGTCAGGCATTGGAAGGTTTTTGTCCATGGTCCCCGTGTGTGGACCTGAGCGTCGCTCGCGGCCTTTGTAGAGGACCACCTCAACGCGACGGGCGCGGAAAAATGAATCGTTCCACAGATTGATCAAATCTGCAACAAGTGAGGTCCGCTTGGGAGGAACTCCCCCCTTGGAGAACTCATGAATGGGCATCTTGCCGGCCCACGCGAGAGCAAGATCCTGAAGTAAAAGTGAGCTGACAAGCTAATGAACAAGTCTGTCACCACGTACATTCATGAATCTGATCCAGTCCTGGTGGTAAACGTCATGAGTGTCGAGCACAAGTGGCATGCGAGGAATCTGATCGTAGAATTTGTCCATCTCTTGGATCCTCATTACGCTAAACGGAGTGTAAGGTTGAGCGGCATTAGGTGGACGGGAGAATGCCTCCGGAGCAGCGAGTTGTAACGAATCTCCTCCGGTTGCAGCGCCGGGCATGCGAGGGGATGAAGGGAATCCTGCGTTGGGCATACGGGGGGATGAAGAAAATCCTGCGTTGGGCATACGGGGGGATGAAGGGAATCCTGCGTTGGGCATACGGGGAGATGAAGCAAATCCTACGTTAGGCATACGTGGAGATGAGGAGAATCCTGGCCCAGCAGGCGCACCGGGCATTGGAGAGGGTGCTCGCGACCGGGGCCCCCCGACGGGCTGGCCTTCAAGGACATGCCCACGGGGGTATACTGATTGGATTTGCCCAGGGGGGACAAATGGTGAAGGGGCGCGGTGAGGAGGAGGATAGGTCGATGCCTGTTGACCATGGTATGGGGATGGTGCCCGGGACACAGGGCGTCCGTATGGAGAAGGTGCACGGGGTGGCCCCGGCGGCATTGGAGAAGTAGCACGGGGCACCGGCGGCATTGGAGAAGGCGCTCGAGCACCATAAGGAGAGGGTCCTGGTCCCCCATAAGGAGAGGGTGCTCTGGCGCCATATGGAGAGGGCGCTCTGGCACCGTAAGGAGTGGGCGCTGTGGCACCAAAAGGAGAGGGCGCCCTGGGACCGGGTGCTGTGGCCCCATAAGGAGAAGGCGCTCTGGCCCCATAAGGAGAGGGCGCTCGGGCACCATAAGGAGAGGGCGCTCGTGCACCATACGGAGATGGCGCCCTCACCATGGGATCCGGTCCACCAGGGTACGTGGAAGGGAATTCTTGCGGTCTTATATTTGGTGAAGTGGAGAAATTACTTACAGGTCTGTAAGGAGAAGCTGCACGGTTGTAAGGGCCAGCTCCTCCAGTTGTAGGATAGCCTGTTGGGCTACTGTATGTGGCGGGAGGGGAAGAGTATGCCCCTGCACCACTCTGAGAAAGCTTTCTGGGCCTTGCAGCGAAGGAAACCTCCTTGCGCTCTATGTCGAGACTGTCGAATCTGCGGTCAAGATCGGCACTGCTGTAGGTGCCGTATGCAGCAGTCCCCGGAATGGAGTATCCAGAGGGAGGTGCTTCTCCGTAGAAGCTCTTTTTGCGTCCTCTGACCTGAGTATCCCTCTCGCGCGCCATGCGGATATCTATTTCATCCCTTTCAATCTGTTTCGCGATGTTCTTGAGGGATGCCTTCTCTTCTTTTTTTTTGCGCTTCTCCTCAGACCGTTTCCTGAAAAAAGGTTTAGAGTCTGAAGCAGCATTACATCGAACGAACCGTACCACTTTTCAAGCTCCCTCTCTTCTTCCCTGCTGAGCTGGCCGCGATTAAAGGATGCAGCGAATTCCTGATTCGCATGCTCAATCAATGGTCATGAGCAAAACTCGAGCGATCTGAGGACTTACTGCATTGGCAGGTTGAGCGCCTGTTGGCAAGATCTGCGTGGCTTCGGCAGGGACCCATTGAATACCATGCACAACACCTTGGGGTGTCTGATAGCTGCACATCATAATCTGATCAGGCGGTGCGATCTCGTCAACATCACAACCACTTGCCTTGCAGGCACCGCTCTGCAACATCGATAGGTTACGATAAAGCTAGTTTGCGAGACAGATGCCGATCATACCTGAAAGGATGATATGTAACCTGACCATCCGCACTAGTGGATGTCGTGTAGGTGATAGATCCGGGCGCGATCTGGCCACCAGACGGGGGAGAATATGGCTGGGGCTGCTGCTGCGGTTGCTGCTGAGGCGGAGAAAACCCTCCTGTTCCGTTCATTGTACACTCTGGTGAAGATGAGAGAAGCTGAGAGAGAAGGGAATCGCACTGATAAGAGGGAATTGTTGCCTTTCATCTAATAAATTGACCCTGCAACCCTACCCTGCCTCGTGTTAGGCCATATCGAGACAATTGCTGGCGATGGCCGAGTTTTCAGCGCTGATTTTGCTACTATCGGTGACAAATAGAACGTGACCGATAGTACTTGATATCTGATCGGCTGGCGGAACGAACGCATGCCGGGTGGGTTCAGTACCTTTTATCAAGATCATTTGGCTCTCAACTTACCTGGGACCTACGTAGCATAGAAATTCCATCTTGAACATACTTCTAACAGTCTGCACTACCACTAGATGATATATGCTTATCCATCTCCAAGGAGAGATGTGGTATAACAAAAACTTGACTTCAGATTTCAAAGTTCAAGCAGGCGCGCAATCATGGCAATTATAGTTAGCTCATGCTCGATATGATATATCAATAATCTCGTGTGGCAACTGATGCCATGATGGAGGGAAACATCATAATTTGGTTAACTTACCTAATCTCCGGCCGGCCTGCATACCGTACCGTTCTCGAGCACAAATGAAAGGGCGATTTCGTCGCGTTGAACTATCAATCTGATCATGGCCCAAACAAGAAACAAAGTCTGCCAGAATGAAACCCATAAGTGCGTATATACATAATATATGATGACAGACTGGATCAGGTGCTTCCGACGTACCAAGATGTCATCATTTTATGTGACGAAGCTCCAGTAAGATTGGTTCCTCTTTTGAATTCGTCTCCGAGAGCTAGATGCAACATTACTAGGGTCTGGTTTGACTAGCTATCGAAGCGACGAATCGGGGAGTATACGTCAGGATCTGCATAAATCTACCTGGCCATCATTAATGATTTATGATACTAGAGGTATAAGTGGTCACCGTTAGCACTCCTTTGGGAATGAAGTATCCCTGGTGGGCTCATAAACGTCTTCTGAGGGTAAATCATGTATGTCATTGCTTGGACTTTGATGGATTGATGGCCTGCTTCTCAATACCACGGCGAACCATCAAAGCACTTCATTTATAGGTGTAATCAGAGATTCCCCTCGGTCAGGTCGTGGGTAGCCTGTGCTTTTTGTCAAGCTTCGGTGACGAAGCCTTACTATAATTAGGAAGAAACAATGGTCTACGGAGGTCAGTTTCTCTGCCATCGCATCGCAAAGACAGCTCACATTATCAGCCTCCGGTATACAAATGTCGTTCAGATTTCAACTAGGAAATCACATGGCGTCTGAGCAACCCACCTCACGATGACCTACGCCTCTCTCAGCGCCTTCCCCTTAAGCAATCAGATGCAGTGAAAGATCGAGAAACAATACCGTGAGCTAGCGTTACTTTCTCAGCATCAGACAGGTCGTTGGCCATTTCTGACGAAAAACTGTTGGAATGACGCTTTCAGGTACCCGCAACGAAGATGCCTACAAGTTACAAGCCGTCAGCACCGTTGCCTAATGATGAAAAAGTATAAACACGCACAGACATATATGATAAGCCCACTACGTGTGTCGAATGAAGTGTTCGGAGTGTTGAAAGTCTTGTGATGAAAGCTCATTCTCGTCCTCGGCAATAGTTGTATTGTGTGCGCCGTCCGCTCTGCTAACAGATGCTTATGATCACGGAGTTCTTTGAGTAATATCCCTTTAGGAAATGGCACACCTTGGCATCAATGGGTGCACGATGTTCGCCTAGTAGTGCCAACAGTACGGCGAATGTTTAGGCGGTACGCTTAAACCTGTTGCCATATTTCGACAAAACAAGGAAGTTCTTCCATCATCTATGAAATGTAACGGTCGGTTCCGCGGAAGTGATTCGAGGTGTAGTTACTGCGCTATTCGAGCAGATCCTTCGCAAGCTGCCCTGAGTTGATAATACATGAACCAAGCATGGTATATTCACTGTAAGTTACACAAGGTGTCAATCGTTGACGCAAGTTTGTAGGCAGCAATTTACTCTTACCGTATTACTTCTCCCTACAAACTGAATGCCAGCTGTGGTCTTTCGGTGGCTGAGTCGAGTACGCGGTGGAATTAGGTCTCAGAAATTGCGGTATTAACGCATGCTTCACGAGATGGGACTCTCGAGCATCGGGGTACACCAACGATTCTCCCTTTCAAACTTCTGACACTCCAGCTGCGAGAGGAAGTGGCCGGTAAGCGGATAGCACCATTGGGTAATATCATACAACTCTTCACGATGCTCTGAATATAGTGGTCGACTTCCCGGAATGATTAAGCGATGCACCCATGACTGCGAGTTTGCCTGGAAACGCGGCTCCTAGGAAGCACTTGACTTCCTTTTCCGTAAGACTGTGACTGTGCAGGGGCGCCATGAGTACCTCCATTTTTTGGAAGAACTCACATCCATTTATTTTGGCGTCCAAGCTTCTTTGTGGTCATGTCGAGTTTTTGTTCAATTTATTGCTGTAAATGAAAGCAGACAACCAGTCGACTAGAAATGACGGTACATGCCAACGAGCCGTCGCGGCGAATTAAGTTCCATGTGGTCAAACGATTAGTCTTGCGGAAAGCTGAAAGCCCGTGATGCTTCTGATTATCACGTATCTCCGCCGAAAAAATGACAATGTGCCATTAATTTCCCTACAACGGAGATGTCGATTATTGCCATGTGGATTGAACATTGCTCCCAAATAAATTCACACTTGTAGAATATTCAGTCGCTTTGCGACATAGCAAACGAGATGATATCCTTCAGAGGGAAATGAGCAGCATGATGTGATTCATCGAGACTATTCGATACTTTCAGCAGCCTATGTCAGAATATTACTGTCGGTAAAGAAGGGTACGAACGAGGAGATCGTGCGAGTTGACGTCAATATCAATTATGACCCGTTCTAATATTGTACTTGACCAGCAATGCGAAGGGGCGAGGAGGTGCCACTTGCTGTAGATTCCAGGATTCAGATGGCAACAGAAAACATGACATACTGGTCCAATGGAAGACAATATTACAAAAATCTTGCAAAAGGTAATAGATTACTTTGCCTGGGTGAAAGATGTCCAACTCTTCGCAGAAGGAGTCCGAATGCAGTTCATGAGAACCGCCACCACAACATGATGATAAGAATAAGTGCCACAGCACCAAATGGTGCATATTGTCGTATGAGCGCCTGGATGTTTATGTTTCTTGCTGCCTTGCGGTACTTTTCCGATTCAGAACGCAGAGAAGTTGACAGATGCGACATTCCTGTAAAGTGTTGAAGCATGAAAGAAGAGCACATAGAATCTCCACACTCACTGTCTAACGAGTCCCCCCTCCACAAAAGCTCTTCCATGTTCTTGGTCATAATTCGAGTGACATCTTGCAATTCATTGTTTAAGTTGTCCAAGTTTGATGATCCAGCTGTATCAGCTGCGCGTGTATCCTGATATAACCGTGCTGTTTTGGACATGAAGGTATCTGAATGCAGCGCGAATTAGTCCTCGGCAAAAATTGGTGCAGTAAGACCGCGCACCAAACCCGACAAAGGCATAAGGTTTCCGCACAGACTCTACTTTGGGTCCGTAAGATACGGAGAACTCCTTTGAAAGTTCTTCTAGATACGAGAAGGCAAGTTTCCGCGGGTAAGATTTGTCCGCAATGGTGAGGTACACAACATTATCCGCGAGGAGGTAGCTATACCAGCCGGCGGCTTAGTATGCGGAGCCTGATCGAAATGAGAACGGACACTCACTGAAGCGTATACTGCCCACTTTCGATGGAACACCGCGGTTCCGAGTTGGGAGTAATGCGTCGAAAAATTAGTTTCGACTGTTGCTTGTGCTCCTGAAGAGCCTGCTCGGTCTATTAGAGTAAATGAACCTCCTCAATAATGAAGATGTTAAAGAATCTAACCTGTTCATCATCCACACTTGCTGCCATTGGCAAAGCATCTGTTGCGCGGACTATTATTGTTGAGCGGACCATGGTGGGAGATGATGTTGTCGTGGCTCAAGTGGAAGTAATTGCGGAGATGGTAGAAGCACGTGACCGGCGGTAAATTGGTCGACATCCGGAATAGGAAACCTCGGGCAATGAGCTCAATGAGCCGAATTCCTCAAAGCCTTCTTGAATTCTGTCAGTTCGATCGACCGGCCGGTGAAGGTGAATCTCTTGTCACTCACAGAAAGTCGGGCAGGTATTGCATTGGAAAAAGTTTTGAGGAAGTTGTCATTTGCCATCTTGTTCGGTGTCTGCCGCCGGCAGGGTCTCGTTCCGTTTGGAATATGATTTGTCCGCGTTACTCGTGAGCGTTTTATCTAAACATGTTCCAGGGGTCGGCGTTTAGTTTTAAATCAGTACTACCTGTTGACAACCACCATCATCATGACTCTCTCCTTGTTCGACATTCGCAAACAGGTGCGTACCAAATGTGAATCTCATCGACTTTCTAAGTGACGCTCGTCTTAACAGCTTACCTTCTACGGTTCCTACCATACCAATCCAATCAACATCCTCGTTCACATATTCGGGGTCCCAGCTATTCTGTGGTGCGTCATCTTCTCACTACGCGCAGTATGGATTATGTACCACATTGGTCCGATCTAGGAGTTCACTGTTGTTGGCTACTCGCATCCAAACTCCCACATTCTTGCCAGTGTTTCGCTATACATTCAATGAGTACCTATCATTCGATTTGAACACGTCCGCAGTGGTCGCTGCCATATATCTTGGATACTACATCATCCTTGAACCGTTTGCTGCGGTCAGTCTCTCACGCCATGAATCCTATCTGTAGTGCCATCTGACACCAGTCCCAGTTGTTGTACGCGCCGCAAATAGTATTGTTATTGCTGACAGCAACAGCTCACGCGCACCGTCCTGATGGCATTCGAGACGCAATCATTGTTCAAGTCATTTCATGGATTGCACAGTTCCTTGGACATGGACTTGCCGAGGGTCGTGCTCCAGCCCTTCTAGACAACATTGTTGGTGGTAGGTTTCATCAACCACGTATCTAATTTCTATATTGGCTGCTAATAATCCTTTCTAGCCCTTGTACTCGCTCCGTTCTTTGTGCACTTGGAATTGATGTTCATGCTTGGATATCGTCCCGCCCTACACAAGCAGCTGCAAAACGATATAGGCATTGAGATCGCCAAGATGAGAAAGGCACAAGGCGATAAGAGACGCCTTGCAGAAAAGAAGGCCAGTTAATTTGATCGATGACGGGATCCTGCTCGCATATCTATCATCTTAGACTTTCCGTATTTGTTTATTCTCCTGCTTTGCCAAACCTCGTCGATTCTTTTATTCCTGGCCTGTGGAGGTTTTGGGCTGTTTATAGTTCACCATCGTCTTGTATCATACATCAACTTGGGTTATTTTCATCTCTACCATTCGTTTCAATTAATAATGGACCCGGTTTCACATTTGCCTTCAAATGAGACTGGCGGGAGGTTGGAGGGTTGGTTCTCCGACAGGGGTAACATAGCACGAGGTAAGGCCTCCGTCGACCTTGAAATCTGTGCCCTATTGACGTGGCATTGAAAAAAAATCTCACACTAATTGGAAAGAAACGTACAGTCATATAACTGCTGTCATCGCTCGCCACTACGTATGACATCAGATCAACCAGATAGTGATACCCAAGCAAAAACGTACAGAACAATGCAGCCTTGGCGAGTTCCACGGCCTCACCGAACCGACCCATAGGGAGATGAACAAGCCGGCGCTCTTTCTTTTCCGACGTGTTGAGGAAATCCATCAAAAGAGCTTCAAGACATGATACGTCAGCAACATTGATTTTTGTGTCTTTATTGTGCACTGACGCGTCTTCAGCGGACCGCTGTCAGCATACGGTCAGCACACAGCAATGCAAGTTTCACTTCAACTTACGGGCATAGGGAGTTCAGCCGAATTCCTTCTCTCGCATGCACCATCGCGAGCTCTCGTGTCATGGACAACACAGCACCCTGATGATCTTTCAAGCTAACGTACCTCAGTGAACGGCTATTATACTTACCTTGGACGCAGTATCTGAAGAACACAGTGAATCGTCTTTTTTAGAAAACAAGAGAATGTAGTGTGTTAACGTACATGCTAACTGTGGCGTGGCGGCACCCATGAGTGCGACAAAGCTCGCAGTGTTGATGATAGAGCCCCCGACACGGAGGCCTTTCTCTTCGTCGACAGGATTTTGCCGCATAGCCATAATAGCATACTTGCAGCCCCACCAGACACCCTTCACGTTGATTTGCATTGTCAGATCCCAGATCTTCTCCTCGGTATTGAGGGCATGATCGTCTTCTGGGTGCATGATGCCTGCATTGTTGAACTGTAGATTTATTGGGATTCGTTGAAGCATCGTGCGGATAATCACATGATATGAATCCTACCATCACGTCCAATCTACCAAATTCTGCAACAGCAAGATCGACCGCTCCTTTGATGTCATCTTCCTTCCCGACATCAGCGTGAAGAGCCAGCGCTTTGACGTTTGGGAAGCGTTGCTGGATAAGCGCAGCACCTTTCTGCGCAGCTGCTATGTTGATGTCTACCAACAAAACATTGGCGCCTTCCTGAGCGAAGAGAAGGGACGATTCAAGACCGATGCCACTGTGATCCCCTTAAGATCAGAAAACGTGATTTGTTCGAGTAGACTCACGAGCCGGCTCCGGTGATGAGGGCAACCTGCAATCGAAACTTCTGTCAGCAGTATGCCCCATTGCAAGATATCTATCTACATTACTTTGTTCGCAAGGCGTTGGGACATGACCAGGTTTGATAAGTCGTGATTGTGGTTCAAGATGAAGTCGTTTATAGTAACAAGCTGCTGATCATGGATAGACGGATCAAGTATGAGATTGGGTGCCTATTTATAGCTATTGGCTGATCGTAGACTGCAGTTATCATCCCAAACGACACATGTCCACCATTCGTCAGAATCCCAAAAGTTGCTGCCGCAATGAGTGAATCACGAAAGACGATTTTTGACTTGAACCCACCGAAAGGAAGTCCTTCTATAGCGGAACAGGCAAAGAAAACCACTATGTAGTACTGTGAGAACGTTGCTGAGCTTAGCCTAGCAGTGAGCACTTTGTTTTTGTGAATTTGCCTAGAAAACAATTGATATCTGATACTGATTCTGTTTCACCAGCGTATGGTTGTTGCATACTGAGAGAATGACTCTAGCGATTAAGAGTGTCTGTGTCTAGCACCGCAAAACAGAGCCGGAGGAGATCCCATATGTTTTGGTCTATGTCCGAGGGTTCGACCTTTGGAAGACGACCTGGGAAATAGTACTTCTTCACGGATTATCTGAAGTCGCCTATCCATTGAAAGGGCGCAATTTCGCTGGTAGAATAACACCCTCCTCGTAATGCAAGCAAATCCAGGCACAACACCACACAAACAATCTCATATCATAGCCATATAGGTGCTCGACTTCGCCTCGTTGACCCTCTGGGTTGAGAAGCTCGAGTGCCATGAAGGGCGGGGGTGGGGCGGGCCGCCCGCATCGTACCCGTGTGTTCGTTGCCCCGAGGACCCAGGTCATTTGCCGGCGAAGATAAATCGTAGACATTTGAGATACCTTTCAGCTTACCGTCCTCCATGCACCATGCCATGTCTCCAGGGCTAACATCTCGATGATAGACCTCTTCCTTCTAGAGTGACGTGGCCTGCACATGATATCAACGAAGAGCTACATAGATGTGATGAAACAAGTACTTTGAAGCCACACGTTGAAAAGGTCTCTGCCGTGTAGCGTCGTGATGGGGTGGAGGATGGGGGGCCCTCACTCATATAGAGCACATGACTGCCCGTGGTGGGTTCTGGAACGCCAAACGCTTTTCAGACTAGGGATATGGGATCGTGGAATTCATGTTGGATTCGTGGACTTGTTGTGTCAAAGCAACTCAGGAATATCATAGTTGTGACAGTATTGCGCACCTAAGTGACCTTTCTCAAGATTTCTGGTTCGGTAGCGTGATCCTTCTGTCCCATGAATATCTTGGCCACCATCCCATCTTCCTGGGTATCCAGAATTTGTTTGGCGAGCCCTTCGATAGTGACAAGGGACCGCATTGGTGGCGCGTTCTTGTCGTCCGTAGTCCATTGCTCTTTTGTTCGTCGTTGGTGTGAAGCAGCAGGTCAACTCTTCCAAGAACTTCATCATCAGAAATATGAAGTCCTTTTAAATTTCTTAACTGGGAGGAAGTGTGTCGAATGGAAACAAGAAACCTGACATATATACGGCTGACTATTTATAGCTTGTGATTGTCGATCCAACTCGGCCCTACCCTCGCAGCCTTCAGTCATGATGAAGCTTTGAAGCCTCCAGCGTTCTTTGGTGTCGATATGAGCTCATTTAGCTATCAACATCTACCTTTGTAGTTGGGTTGAATGTCAGTCCTCAGTGACCAGTCTGAGACATCCGAATCCAGTGCGTCATCATGTTTCCAATCAGCCTGGCCCATATAAAACCCCCAACCTCAGCTAGTCAGCTGGTCTTTCATTCACTTTCTATCCCACAGGTGCAGGTTGCCTTTCCGCTACAATTATTCACTCTTGCTTCATTTCGACAACGATACTTACTATGTTCTTTCGTCCTAAGACCTATTCTGCTCGTTATCCACAATGGATGGTCGGGAGGCCTTTGCTCTATATGTCATCCGCCCTTGCATCTCTCGGGGACGCCATGTTTGGCTATGGCCAAGGAAGTATCGCAGCGGCTCAGGTTCAGCCCTCTTTTATCCATCGAATGTTTGGCAAGGAAGTTACTATGGCGCAAATCCAAGCCGGCCAGACCGGCGTGGATCCTTTCATACAAGGTTTGACTCGTCTTTTTTTTCATCCTCATGTCACTCAAACACCCCTGTTGTTAGCTATAACCGTTGCTTGTTTAAACCTAACGGCGCTGCTGGCTTCATTCATTGCTGCATACCTCTGTGACCTTCTTGGCAGGCGGATGTCTGTCCGTATCGGAGGTGTCATGTATTTCATTGCCGCTCTCATTCAGGTCTTTGCTCCAAACCTTGGCACCCTTATCGCTGGCCGATGTATCCAGGGTTTAGGTGTCGGCATACTCTCCATGACTGTCCCGATTTTGCAGTGCGAAATCGCCCCTGCTCATGCCCGCGGTTTGTTTGTCAGTATCGAATATATCTGCCTCAATATCGGTTACGCTGTTTCCGCTTGGGTCGGATATGGCTTCTTCTTCGCCATGCCTTCCGAGATCTCATGGCGTGGTCCATACATCGTACAGGCTGCTATTGCACTTGTTCTCATCTTCTGGACGTTTTTCCTTCCCGAAACACCCCGCTGGCTGGCCCAGAATGGCTTCCAGAAGGAGGCTTTGATAACTCTCGCAGACTTGCACGGCGCTGGAAATGTCTCAGACCCCAAAATTCTGGCTACCTACGCTGAGATCGTCGCCGCTGTTGAGTTCGAAGCACACATGGGTCAAGCTTCCTGGCGTCAACTCTTCACGCAATACACTCGTCGATGCGTCGTCGGCATCACCTGCCAGATGTTTGCTCAGCTCAACGGGATCAATGCCATCTTGTATTTTTTACCATCCAACCTCACTCGTGCTGGCTTCACCATTTCCCGCTCCCTGCTCTACTCCGGTGCTTGTGCTCTGGTCTACTGTTCTGGAACCATTCCTGCAATGTTTTTGATCGACAAATTTGGACGCCGAGCGTTCTTGCTTTTTGGAAGTCTCGCGCTGGCCGCATCCCTTTCTATTGTTGGTGGTCTCCAATACTACGCGGACAGTCTTCCTCTGGGATCTGCCCGAGTTTCTGCTGCTGACGCTATCTTCTTTGGTATGTCATTATTTTACTTGCAAGCAAAACATGCACTGAAGCTCATCCCCACTAGGTGTTTGTCTATACTTATTCTTCTTCGGTGCCACCTGGGGCCCCGGCCCCTGGCTCCTCGGTGCCGAAATCTTTCCTCTCCGTGCTCGCGCCAAGGGCATGTCTCTCAGCACGGGCACCAACTGGCTTTTCAACTTCATTATCGCCTTCATCACTCCCCCGCTTTTCAACGCTATCAATGCAGGTTACTATTTCGTCCTCGTCGGCTTTTGTATCATCTCTGTTGTCGTCGTCTGGTTCATCTATCCTGAAACTGCCCACCATACCCTGGAAGACCTTGGCGAGGTATTCGGCGACAAGGTCATGGACGATGAAGGTCCTGCACGCGAGCAGGCTGAGAGGAGTGCGAACGCGATCCAACGAGAACGCTCGGGTTTACCTGTCATCACCGATTCAGAGGTCACTCTTCAACCCAGCATGTCCACTACACCAGCAGCCAAGGACGAAGCTTCAATTGTCATGAAGGAAAGGTCTTCCGTTGTTACGATCGCGTCTGACGCTTAGCTTAACCCGATGGACTTAGTAGACTAATGAACTTGTATGCCGGACAATAACACCAATGCATAAATTATTCAACCAACGTCCATGTGCATAATAATCCAACGACTGCTTGTCTACTCTGCTGACCAATACTCGACTTAAACTTTAACAACGCAGGGATTCCGGGAAATCATCAGGGTAACTTCCATCGTCTTGAAACATCTCGAGGAAATCTCTCACCGCCGGCGGTGGAGTCTTTGAAGGTAATAAGAAAGGTCTGCGTGAGACTGGGACACTCATTCCAGCGCCCTGCTGCATCAAATCGTCCAGCGAGGAAGTGCATGACGAATCAAATGTACGCCGCTTCCTATAGGGAGAAAGTATGGTGGTTGGGTTTGAACGTGGGACGGAGGTTCTAGGTGCAGTTGCTCGAGGTCGCTGGGCCACGTCTTCTGATTGATGGTTTGCGATATCTGTCGGGGGTCTGACGATCGGTTCTGATTCTGGCTCGGTTTCGGAGTCATCATCTTGAGCAGGTTTGAGTACCTCTATTTCCGATTCGGGCTCGGTTTCGGAGTCGTCATCTTGAGCAGGTTTGAGTACTTCTGGTTCTGACTCTGGCTCTGTGACAGAATCGTCCTCCTCAACAGGGCGAACATTCTCAACGGGCCCTGGACGCTCCACGGGCTTATTGAGGGGCGTGATCTTGTCTAGAATGCGACGTGGGGTCCCTTTCAAAGGGCTGCGAGACGGCGACGCAATGAACGAGAATCTATTTCTTGGAGACTTGGTTGTCAAAAACGAATGAGAGAATCTTCTAGACGGAGAAACAACGGGGGATGTAGCAGGACTCGACCCAAGGGTAAATTGGTGCAGTGGATTGCGCTCGCTGCGATTATTATGGGCAATCTGTGCAATGGGATGCGGTGTTGGGAGATCGACCTCGATTCTGAAAGTTACTGGTAAGTAACGAATTATAACATGGACGTGTGTTGCTGACCTTGCCAGCGACCACTTGTTCAGCAAGCTTCCAGACAAAGATGTCATGCTCATCACTCCCTCCTCCTGCGACTGTGAGCTTGGGATAGGCTCATAGTTGATTAATACAGGTCTTGCTATCCGCTTGTGACTAGGCGTTGCATCTAATGCGAGCAAGTATTGACTTTGCGACGACGGGACAAGTTCTTCAATTATAGCAGGAGCAGACTGCAGGTCCTTAAATGGTGATTCTGGAGAAGATGCAGGGATTGCATGGACCACTTCGTTGTCTCTGGACGCACAGATAAAAGGGTCATCAGAATCGATTGCCTGCTTTGTCCCATTGAAGTCATCCGCGTGTTTTCTTGACTGGACGTCTCTGTCGGTATCTATTGGGACAGTGAGCTTTTTAATGAGCGGGGAAGAAGCTGGAGATAGGCTTGATGGTATAAGAGGGTCGGACCCATTCTTGGCTCTGCGTGGCGACGTTGCACCAACGAATGTGCGCAGACCGGACGGTGCATGTATATTGCTGGGTTTGCGTACATTGGTCTCTGGAGTAGGTAAAGATGTAATGGCAGGAATAATCGTAGTGGGGGTGGTCCTCGGAGAGAGGAGCTGAACCACCGCAGTGCTTACTGTGAGCGTCCGCTTCTTCGTTTGGTTTGTTGGGGGAGGAGTGGCTAGAGACTGCTCTGGAGCACTAGCGAGATGCACAGGAGCATTAATCCTGAGGAAACTTGGTGCATCTATTCTATGGGAGACAATGTTTGAGGTACTCTTCACTGAGTGAGAGTTACCTGCAACCGGCCGCTCGGGTGATGAGTCGATGAGCACTACATCGTGAGATGGTCCGGGTAGTGATACTCTCTCTCTCCGGCTAGAGGTCGATGCGACCGGAGACTTCGAAGTAGGAAACTTTGTTTGCTTCTTAGTTGTCTTTGTCTGTTTGGCGCTGCCCCGAGGACCCTTACAGGCATCAGCAGAAACTGCTGCCCGCCTTTCCCGCTTTCCTGGACCTCCCCTGTCGTCCGCAGCTGCCGAAAGTTTCCTCTTCTTGGCTGGTTCTGCCTCTCTCCTGTCCTTATTTCGCGCAAAGTAAGATGTGATGGGGAGTTCTAGTTGCGACAAGTCCATGTTAGACCGTGTCAGTAGTTCTCTTCACCAAGATGGTAATAAGGGCGGAGTTGACACGCTTTTAAAACTCAGAAATATACATCCGACGCGTCTCGTCACGCGCTTTTCTTTTATAAAGCAACATTATCAGTAACATTATGGGAATTGACTCGCCGCAACTCAAGAAACGCAGGATGTCTGTGTCCGACAGCGCTGACAATGACGCGTCTGCTCCCACGTTGCAGTTGCTAGTTAAGAGACTCTCTGACAAGGCCAAGATTCCTACTAGAGGATCGAATTTGGCTGCGGGGTATGATTTATACAGGTAACGCGCATTCGATATACAGACATAGTAATTTGACCGGGAAACAAAATGCAGCGCAGAGAAAAAAGTGATTCCAGCGCACGGTAAGGCACTGGTTGACACCCAGCTTTCCATTGCTGTTCCTGCGGGCACTTATGGGCGAGTTGCACCTCGCAGCGGTCTCGGTAGGTGTGTTCTGTGTGCTATGTAGTGTTTGACCAGTGATTTTCTTTCAGCATCGAAATTTATGATTGACACGGGTGCTGGTGTCATCGACGCGGACTACAGAGGTGTCGTCTTTGTTCTGCTTTTCAACCTCTCAGACAAAGACTTCCAAGGTTCGTAAAAGAGTGAATCTGATTATGGTGTTGCTAATCGGGTGCGTAGTCGAAGAAGGCGACCGGATAGCTCAACTGATCATCGAGCGCATTTATACACCTGATGTTATGGAAGTGGAAGTGCGTCTTGCTTGCTCACGTTCTTAGTTATGTGATTGATCATCCAGCAGAACCTCGATGAAACATTACGTGGAGCAGGAGGGTTCGGCTCTACGGGTGGACACGGCTCGCTGTAACATATTATACCAACTGTGCTGCCTTTATATTATCACGAGAGAGTTGCGAGAGAAGGGAACCTATTTTTTTTGCGACGGGATTGATGCTCATTACGAGTTGGTTTAGTCCTGCTTGTGATGTTGAATGTGAATGCTGCGTGGATGTCTACTGATTCCTATATGTCAGCGTTTTTGTGGGCCCTTTCAAGGTCAAACTCACCTGATTATACATTAATGGTGCAAAGCCATTACCGGGGCGCGACTGCAGAACTTGTGTGCTCTCCAAGAGTGAATCATCTAGAGCGATCTGTCTCGACGACGTACATCCCATTCGCGCTACGGCTCGCATATGAGAGTAGATCCCGGCCTCTCACATCTCCGTCCTCGCGTGGTGTTCTGTCGAGCGGTATCCCAGACCCTTCTGCTATTACCCGCCCGTCTGGGATGCCTACATTGCCCGTTTCCTCTATTTTGATCAGCTTCGTGGCCTCCACAAGCTTGATCAACTCCTCGAGTTCGTGCTTTAGCTTTACATATTCCGGTGTACCCTCTTCGGGTGGTAATAATGCAGACAGCTCATGCAATCGTTTGAATGTGGCTGGTGATATCGACGGAGCTGGATAAGAAGACAATAATTCCTGGACGGACCAGGTGGGCGTAAGTGGTATACCGTACTTGTCGGTTTCAACTGTCGCTTGAGACGTCGAGTATTTCCGAGGGGCATTCAGAGAACCACACCATACGCGCCTTGCTTGTCTGACTGAACGCAGTAACATATGGTGAAGAGGTAGAACAGCGTGGGAAAGTTATGGGAGATCGGACATAATAAATAATTTCCATTAGTATTTGCTCAAACTGTTGCATCAACATGGAACGAGCAGCTCGCGCTATTCAAGGCCTATTACCGAGTACCCTTCCTCCATCTCTACGAGTAACACCTGCAAACCTTTACCAGGTGCTTTCTCGAGCACCCGGAGGCGGTGTTGGCCAGCGTGTACACCAGATCCGTTGGACGGAGAAAGGTATAAGAACCTGCTACTGGCAAGTAACACGGACACAGCTCAAGCTCGAGGGGAACCACGGAAAGGCTTGGGGGAAGTTGTACTGGAGAGGTGAGCTCGTATCTTCCACTCCCAAGAGAAGCAGACACAAATTCACCTCCATATGCAGGCAAACAAATTAGTGGGCAGGAGGAGAGAATCAGTGGTTCATTGAAATACAAATGGTCAACAGGTCCATCTTAAGCCAATGCAAATGTACGCCAGAGTATCGTCGTTATAGAGTTTACGCTCATTCAGCATCCAAGACTGCAACGCAGGCTGTTGGAATAATTTCTGTATAAATATCTAATCCTGGCTGCTTTCAAGTTGTTTGGAATGCCGCTTTCACGCTGGCCCAAGTCAAGCCCAAGTAGCCTTGTGCAAGTCATTTGGCTCCATCGACCACATTTCCGAGTCTGCCTCTAATCCTACTGAGATAAATGTGCCCAATAAAAAGGATTCTGGTTTCAAGTATGTAGCGGCGAAAGGATTTCTCCGCCTCCAGCATGAATGTTCAAAGGTTTGACCATGAAACATGCCAGTAAGGACTCTCAGGGGAATGCTTGGTCCAGTGATCATCAAATGGCGACTGTGCATGACGCGAAACGCTGCTCACGACTCTACTAGTACACGCTTGCATTCGCCTTGGGTGGCACGGACTTGAGCTTGAACATTGAATGGTCCATACTAGTTCCTAATATTCCTAAGTCAAACTGTTAAAGAAGGAATCGTTTCATTTGCTTCATCCGCTACCGTGCGCATTCGGCGAATCCCGAAAACCAACATGTCGAGTGAAGCGCTCAAGGCAGTGCTGGCATAAGGCCGGTTTGCGTCACGGTGACGCTACAGGCATACTGAACTGAACAGACACAACTCATAATTTCACTATCACTTCTTCACTCTATTCTTCTGTACGCGCTACATTTTCTACAAGCTCATCCCTTTTCGTTTCACTATGGATTCGCATGAACTTATCAATGCACAATTCCATCGGGCAGTGGAGATAGTGCAGGGCCTCCCAAAGACTGGGCCCATACAAACTGGCTATGAGGAGAAACTGACGATGTACAGGTGCGTTACATGACTTTACATCTTCAAGCTCACATTTACTTACTGGCTTTTAATATCAGCTTGTACAAGCAAGGTGGCTTACATCACATTTCAGAGCACCTCTTTACTTATATTACTATGCATAGCGACTGTTGGAAATGTCCAAGGCGGTCGTCCAGGCATGTGGGATATGCTAGGCCGGGCAAAGTGGTTGGTCCACGTCGTTCCTCACTCTCGCGTTATCACATGTTAACGGGGACTACAGGGACGCATGGGCAAAGCATAAGGATCTTGATCTATATGAAGCCAAATGGCTTTACGTGGATGCTTTACTGAAGGTACGATCTTGGATAATTCCATGATTCCCGAGAATAATTTCAATACAGGTTTTAAGTAAATACTCGGACAAGACCGTTGCTCGTGACCTCATGAATGAACTCCAGTCTTATGGTGGTGACCCGTCAAATCTCGTGATGAGCCGTATGTCCAACGCTAAACTTTCCCTGTGCTAAATTGATATATTCCGGCTAGATTCTCTTCCAAGGTCGCGGACCTACTCCCGGTCGTCAAGCTCCAGTGCCTCAGATAACGATATCCATCGAATTCCCGGTCAATTATTTTCCTCTACCCTTCCAGAGGCCCAATATACTGCACAATTAGCAGTTAAGGAGAACAGTGGCTCGAGCTCTGAAAATGATGAATCAGGCGACGAACCACACGAACTCCCATCTGTGCGTGAGCCTGTTCAACAGCCAAGACCACTTTCTTCCATGTCTTCAAGATATCGTACTCCTGCAACAGGCTCACATGCCATGTCGCCGCCACTTGCTGGGCTCGCAAACATTCCACCTATGCAACCAATGCCCACATACCAGACGCAATCCGCCTTCGTTAGTCAATCAGCACCAATAGCATCTTCTTCTGTATACCCTCCACCAGGACACCATTCTGGGACATACCAGTCGCCCGAGTTTGCACCGCAGATTCAGTCGGCTCTCTCCCTCCGAGGGGGTCGGTTTCATGGCGCTGAAGCGCCTATACGAACACCCTCACGGTTACCCCTGGAGCAAGCCGTCGAAAACCTCCAGACGCACCTTGCCGCAATAACAGAGCGGCTCGATATGCTCGAGTCCCAGGTGGTGCATCCGCAACGATCCACCGCTTCGCTTCCCCTGAAAAGCTCTTCCGGTAGAGGCAGTCCGACGGATAACCGTCCTGAAGAACTCGGATGGGATTTGGATGATATGGGAATGTGGTCGTTTGTTCTGAAGCCATTGTCACGGATGGCGGTGTCATTGAAACGGCTGTTTATATTTTTTGGTCGGGGCGAGAACCGGTCTCCGGTCCTCACTATTGTGCGGAGACTGTTGCTCGATATATCATTTTCTTTGGCAGTTCTCGGGTTGCTGAGACTGACGTGGAAGAAGACGGCTACAAGACGGAGGGAGGTTAATGCAGCCCTTATATTACTATGGGCTGCTTTGTCTGGGAGGAACAGGGGAAGACGGATGATCAGTGGTGTGTAGTGCTTACTTTTTTTCACTCGTGGGTGGCTCAAGAGTAGTCATTAATGCTGCATTTATACCTCAATGCCCAGAATTATTTACTTTGCCCCAAAATCTATTTAAGCTTCGCAATTGCTAATACATTTGCACTTCGTGTTCAACAGTTATTCGAGGTTTCAAGACTACCGTTCGTGGATACAACTGGTCCTATCCTTTTACTCCGTCATATCGACGACACAGCGGATACAGTCACCACCCTAGAAGTCAGGTTATACTTCCGTTGGGTTTATAAAGGAGGGTGATACGTACGTGCATGTCGTGGAAACCCTCGTTGATTTCCGCAAATTTGCGGTGGTGAGTGACGTATTCGTCGATCTTGAGCTTGCCTTGCAAGTAGTCTGGTAAATTACACTGTTGAGGGTATGAATTGAAAGCACTGAAAATCGAGTCACCTTCGACAAGACCAGGAAGCTCAGTGCGACCCTTCACTCCTCCAAATGCGGTACCTCGCCATGTGCGACCAGTAACCTGGAATACATCCATCCATAAGTCACAACTGACCATCTACTTCAGCTGGATCATTACCAGTTGGAACCTTTGTAGAAACCTTCAGCACACGGAAGCCCTGTGAAAAACGCCAGACCACTTACGGACGCGTCGATATCTCCTGGCCAGCAGCAGCAACACCAATGACGGTGCTCACACCCCAGCCCTTGTGGCACGACTCTAACGCAGCACGCATGACATGTACATTGCCAGTGGCGTCAAAGGTAAAGTCCAACCCGCCATCAGTGATATCGACCAAGTAATCCTGAATGCGCTTGCCCTCCGGGAGCGCCATAGGGTTGACGAATTCGGTAGCACCCATTTTCTTTGCCCAAGAATCTTTCGCTGGGTTCGTATCGACAGCAATGATCCGAGAAGCACCGACTACCGACGCAGTAGAGATGACACCGAGACCGATGGCACCGCATCCGAAAACGGCGACGTTGGAGCCCTCTGCGTATCGTATGAGTGACAGTAGGAATACCAGATATTCACATACTGATGCCTGGCTGCTTCACAACTGCGCCCCATGCGGTGGTGATGCCGCAACCAAGAAGACAGACCTTCTCGAGAGGCGCAGACTTGTTCACAGCGACGACAGAAACTTCTGCCACCACAGTGTACTGTGAGAACGTTGAAGTTCCCATCTGTTCGAGCGGGTGAATATTGTCAGATGCTACAGGAATTGGGACACACACAAAGTGGTGGATGGGTTGGCCCTTACACGTGAAGCGGCTAGTGCTATCAGGCATCAGACCCTGACCTTGTGTTGTTCTCACTGACCACGATAATCGTGAGACTGATGTCTTTGAAGGATACAGGGATCTGACCTTTTCCACACAGGTTGGTCTTCCCACTCTTGCAGAATTTACATTCGCGGCACTCTGGTGAATTAGACTGAGCAATGAATTCAGGGGCCGTTGTGGGTCGCCTCACCAGCAGTGTAAAGCGGGACAACGTGGTCGCCCTGGCAAAGGGTGTTTAAGAAGGGCATGACAGTGTGTTTATGGTTGAGACTTACAACTGACACGCTTGTGACACCCTCACCAACCGATTCAACCTGGAGAACCACGAAGAGCAATGAAGCAATAGGTAAATTAACAAGTGTTCTGACTCACCACACCTCCACCTTCGTGACCAAGGATCACGGGGAAGAGACCCTGCAATGCTTTGGATGAGCTCATGGCATCGCAAGACTGAACTCTAGGCACACCTCAGGATCCTTGCCACTGCGAGTGTACTCATCAGTATGGCATATACCTGCAAGATCGCTCCCATCAGCAAATAAGATGACTGTGTAGATCCCCCTCTTCTTACCAGTGTACAAGATCTTAATGCGGACTTCATTAGCGCTCGGGGGCGCAACCTCAACTTCCTCAACCTTGAGGGGCTGGCCAGCACCCCAGCAAACAGCAGCCTTGCAGATAATGGGCTTACCGACTGTGCTCATGATGATGATTGTTTGAGTGAGAAAGGTGGCTTGCGGATCGTGGCTCCATTCTCCCTTGATTCCGCCAGTGGCCGCCGCGGGCCGGAGAAATAGATCATCATCAGTCCAGATACTGCATGCTGTCGTTGCATAGCTTGCACATGACAAGACGTATCTTTATCATCTTCCAGCGCTAAGATTCTCACTGTCTTCTTTTCCGCATCGATCTCTGGATGCTGTGATTCAAGTCCAACCGTACCGACTTCTGATCACAGCCGAATTTTACAAACACCAGCAGCATCACATCACCCGTAGCTGCAACCATGTCGTTCCCGAATCTTTACTACAAGCGAGTATGTTCAAGCAAATCCATTGATCTCTACCCGTACCAAAGAAACTAGACCACAGCGACTGCAAAAGCATGCTACATCTGCTATAAGCCAACGACTGCCGTGCTCGCCACGATAGATACCTCCGATTTTCTGTATACATGCACGATTCACCTGTCAGACCATGGGTTCGCCACTCGCGTGCTCGAGCTTGAGAGCGAGAACAAGATAGGAATCAGTGTTGAGGAGATCGCGAGGCTCAGGGAGGAGTGGGAGGAGAAGCAGAGACGCAAGCAAGAGAAAGAGAAGGTGGATAAGGACAAACCAGCCGATGAAGGCGAAAAGAAAGAGGATGACGGCAAGTCAGAGAAGTCATCAAAGGTGCCGGGATCATTGCCCAAGTCGGGTTCTCTCTCATCAAGGCCCACCCACGAGAAGTATATTTTACATCGTGATATATTTGCCCTGAGACTCTCGGAGCACCGACGACGGAGGCAAACCTCACAGGCGAAGGATCTAGCCCCTCGTCTTCCAGGAGCTCCCAGTAGCAGTCTGCCGTGATATTATGATGTATTGTCTGATCCACTGTAGATGGTCGTACTATCAAATTCTGGTATATCGTTGTATGTATGGGTTTAGGGTATACGTGTTCAATTTATGAAAGGATTACATTGGCAAATAATAGCTCTCACCCCGAAACTTCCAAAACCCCCGATTGCAAGACCCACGATAAGACAGAAACCAGCCACGGTACTCGCAGTAGGGATGTCTTCGCGACGTTGTCGCAATCGTGGATTGTGCTCCAGAGAGGATGCACCCAGCATGCAGAGCGTAGAGACGTATCCGTTGGAGAGGCCTAGAGCGCCAACAAGGAACATGTAGACAAAGTCGGAGCTGATTACGGGCAAACCACGTGAAGGGCCCTGTACCGTGTTGCACAGAAGGAAAATGGGAATAAACAGGGTACGGATGACCGAGAATGCCAGTATGCGTGTAGCGGACCACGTTATTACTATCGGGAAAGAACAGATGTATCGTCCAAAGAAGTCGCCGAGGTTGAACATCAAGAAATGAATGGCGGTGAATAGTAATGGATGGGTATTGGGGTTGGTTGGTTGTATGGTAATTGTAATAACAGGGAAGATGGCCTGGGAGCAAAGAGTTAACTCGGAACCAAGGTAATAAGTCAAGTTACCGCACCAAAGTGATCACATAGACATATGCAAGAGCAAGTTCATAGTGGATGTTCGCTTTGAATACACGGATTATTTGATTTCTTTCTTCAAGGCTTGCTTGATTTGTATCGCGAAAGACGAGCCCTCCAGTTTCATCGGCGCTGCCCAGAGCCCCTTCAAGCTTGACTTTTTGTTCCAAAATCCCAACAGTGGCCTTGTAGGCTGGCAATTGTGCCATCCAGGCATACGCCATGAACGTGCTTACCATGAACAATGCGGATATTCCAAAAAATATACGGGCAGAATCCTGCTCTGCCATCCCGTCTCCAATGCCATCATTAGATATGAACGCGGCAATTGTTTCCGGCGTCGAATCCCACACAGACAAGATGATTGTGACCACCTGGACCACACTAACAACCACAGCTATGGCAGCCTGGCCGGATATCATAGATTGCATGTAAGGAGCCCCGAAAAGCGAGGCTCCAGCGAAGGTGGCTGTGGAGAGATATGAAACGCATATGGCCAAAGAAATAGCACAAAGGATTGCAAAGAAAAAGAAGGTCGATGGTTGGTAGTATCCAAAGGTACTGAAGAACAAGAGAATGATGATGAGTGTGACTGATGCGGCAGACCAAAAAACTCGTCGAGAGGGTGACGACTGGCAATATGATGGTCAGTGTGATATAGACTCCATAGAAAGAAATTAGGTTCCAACCTGTTTCGAAGTTGCCGTGGCATGTGCTAGCGCAAATACATTGAACACGTTGGAAGTAGTGGTCAGATATGAGGTAAAGGTTGCCCGCAATGGCGATCCGACCAAGCGAGACAAGAAGAACGAGGTGGCGGTAATCAATACTGGGCAAAATTGTATGGTTTAGGACCATAACGCGTACCAGAGAGATAAGCATTGATACGCACCATTCCAAGGGAGGAGGATCGCGCAGCCTAGCATAAAGTATATCCACCGTATTCGACTATCAACAATCTGATCAACGAGAAAAGTTGCAGAATCATCGAGTGCCAATTCAAGTTCGCTGTCGCAATCGTCATCGACCTCGGTTGGTGGGAGAGCATGATAAACGGCCCCCGAATCTGTGGTTGAGACCTGTGGCAGCATGCTGCTACGCCCTATTGACATGAAAGAGTTGGTTGGTGGGTTCAGTGCAGTCAGTGCAAGACTACGAACGGGTACTGTGACGGTGAAGTGAATGCAGTGGAATACAGCCGGAAGAGTGCTGTTCGGTTAAGATGCGCGTGTCCGAAGTGAGAAGCCTCTCCATTTTCCATTTGCTCGCAGAGCCTGCCAGACCAACCATGATATAAACGATTTACGATATCGAATGGATTAACACTGTGGACAAGTTCGGTCGCCGTGGCGCGCGCGCATTACGTACGATTATGTCTACCCTACTACTGTACATAGCGACATAGCCTTGACATAGCCGCTCTCAAGCCTTGGGACCCCCCAGTAACGAACCGGGATCTTCCATGCCACGTGACTATTGAGACCCACAGACGAGTCGCTTTCCGCACCGTTTTCCTGGCAGAAAGTTCTGGGTACGTTGTTGGAACGCATGTATTTTCTCCGCACCCTATACTACATGCCATCATCAACGTTATCGCCGGCTTACTCCCTGTGCCATCAGCCTCCGCCATGTCCACACGGTCCCCAGTCACACAGGGGTGAATCAACGTGGGAAAATTACAGGCCCACCACGGCATGCCGCATGATGCATGATGATGACTTGCCTCATTTAGTAGCTTATGGAAAGACAACAAATGACATGCCGAGGCAATCCAGTAAATACAAAAGCGCAAGCAGTATTCTAGACAAGTACTATACAGTAGTTCTAAATCAAAATTGTATTCCATGGTATCATAGGTATGTAGGCCAAAACCCGGAGTCTAAGACGTGAACGGGTCGCAGTTGCATATAATAGCCCTTACTCCAAAGCTCGCAAATCCGCCAACTGCTAATCCCACAATCAGACAGAAAGCTGCGACGGTGCTAGCAACATCGACATCTTCCTGCCTGCCCTTTAATCTCCTGTTGTGTTCCAACGAGGGCGCGCCTAACATGCACAAAGTAGACACATAACCGTTCGACACGCCCAGAGCGCATAAGAGTAGCATATAGACCAAGTCAGAGCTGATAAACGGCGTAACATGGAGCGAAAGTTCCACATTGCATAGGAGGAACGCAGGGATAAACAGGATCCGAAGGAAAGTTAGAGCCAAAACACGTCGAGCGGACCAGATTATGAGTCGTGGGAAGGAACACATGTATCGTCCCAAAAAGTCACCGAAACTGAACACCAAAAAGTGTACAGCACTAAACAATAAAGGATGGGTATTCGGATTCGTCGGTTTGATGGTGACAGTGATTGCTGGGTAAACAGCCTATAGACGCTGGTGAGGAAATGATGCTAGCAGACGATCTCAGAAAACATACCAAAGTTACAGTGAAAACAAATCCCACAGCAAAATTATAAATAAAATTGGTCTTGAGAACACGGAAAATTTGGTTTCCTTCAACTGCGCTTGGCAGCGCCGCAGGCAGAAGAGGTTGTCGTTCGTCAGCCTCATCTGAGATAATTCGGGCTTTGACGTTGTCCTCGAGGGCTCCCATAGTGGTCGTATATATTTGCAATGATGCTAGCCACCTATATGCGAGAAGCGTAGCAATCATAAACAACGCGGAAATTCCAAAGAATATACGCGCAGATTTCTCCTCGGCTTTACCATCAGGGTCAGTATCACCAATGGCCAGAGCCACTGGAGTGGTTCCCCAAATTGAGATGGCGGAACTAATGACTTGCACACTACTGACAGCAACGGCTACTGCAGCCTGGCCAGACATCATTGATTGCATGTAAGGTGCGCCAAAGAGTGCCGCGCCAGCGAATACCGAGTTCGATAGATAAGATGCGCAGCCCGACAAGCAGAACGCGCTTATCATGATGAAGTAGAAGAATGGAGCTGGGCTAAGGTGGAGGAATGTTGTCAAAAACAGTATAGTGACGATGGCTGAGGTGAACGCAGTGGACCAGAAGGCGCGCCTGGAAGGGGAAGACTAACAGGCATGCCATGGTCAGAGACAAATCAGCCTCATGCATGCAGCACCCACCTGTTTCGAGGTCATAATCGCATATCCCAATGCGACCACGTTGCTGGCGGTAAACACGCTGGACAGGTACGAACTAAATGATGTTCTCAGTGGTGAACCCGACAGTCGCGACATGAAGAATGGATTCGCATTGATCATTGCTGGTAGAAAATCTCAGCCATTGGCTGGTCCATATCTTCCCAAGGACATACCGTTCCATGATAGTAGAGTAGCGGCTCCTAGCATAAAGTATACCCAGCGTATACGAGGGTCTCCACGCATATCTTGCGGGCGTGAAATATCCATGATTGTCCGGTCATTATCCGAGTCGTCATGTTCGACTTCTGTGGTTATACGGGACACGCCACCTCCCACGTTTGAACCAGACGCACGAATATTCATTTCAGAAAGGTTTCGTGGCTTGCGCCTATGAATGCAGCAACGAAGGTATGGTGGAAGCGAAAGAAGTGTGGTGCGGCATCATGTTCAGGAGAGTGCCTGCTCGGCCCTGCTGTCCCCACTGAGCTAATCTACTGCAGTAATAGTATTTTCACTCGATTCGTCTGTCACGTGTCACAAGCCATTCTGCCCGGTGCCGGGTCGAAATTTGTTGTCACGGGTCACATCAAGGACGAATTCCCATAAAGAAGTGTCACAGACTGCAGAAAATTCTGCTCTGTCTTGCTGTTGTGCAGTCAAAATAAAAAATAAAAAAGGGAAAAAATGAACCGAAACGGACAAAGAAAGCGGACCGCGAGCGGGCCGGTAACGATCATTGGATAGAGGATTTTTTTCGATAGACCTGTACCCTAAGTCGGGTCCAGGAACATGGTCAAAATTAACTTTTGCGGAAAATTTCTGCACTGTCATGTGTCACACCCTCAGATGGCGAGGTGACGAGATGGTGTAGTGTGTCACACGTCACAGGTGGTGCCGAATCGAGTGGTATTATGGCCCTCTGAAAGTAGGTCTCTCACGTTATTGCAAGCGAAAAAGAAGTAATCGGCTTGAGAAGTAATTAACCAACCAATAGTTGATAATCATCAATCGTATACTATAGCTAGAAGCATCCCCTAACACAATATCATGCCTCTTGTCTCCTCGCAGACTTGCCAGGAATAAACTGGTTTGGTGCATCCCGCAAGACCAACTGGCTGAGCTTCTCCTTCTGTTTATCCGCCTTCCTTGCCTTGCGCTTAGACTTTCTATCCATCTTCGCAAGACGGTCCTTGGTCAACCACCTCCGTTTCTTCTCCGACTTTCTCTCATCTTCCAGCTTCTGCCGGTATTTGAAAGCAGCTTCCGCACGCGCATCCCGAATACTCCGGCCATTAAGATTCTTGAGTTCCTGAGCAATGAACTTTTTGAAGAGCGTGCTCTTCCGCTTCACAGCAGCCTGCCAGCGCGCTTGCTTCTTCGCTCTGCTATGAGGGTTGCTCAGTTCCTTTGTAAGATGTACCTCCATCGGCGCTGACGTGTCGAAAGGAACAGCGGAAGGATTGAACAGCATCTTAAGGTACGCCTTCTCAGCTACGTCGCTCTGGAGAGAAATCAATTTGGACAGAGAGAACACGGGTGGTTTGTACGTTATTTCCCGAACCGCCTCTGGTGTCGTGTCCAACAATGGATTAGCTACATCACCCTCAGGTCAGAAAATAAAACAAAAGAAAAATGAGAGTGCCTGACGTTCTTTGTGTTCTCTCTCTTCCGGTTGAGGCCATTCTAGTTCGATTTTTGTCTTCGGGGTATATGGATCAGTAGCGAGCACCAGACGCTTCCAGTTCCAGCGGTAGAGAATGGGATCCCAATGAGGATCTCGCGCACCAACACGTCTCGCAAACACACTGCGGACAACATACAGTCAAAGGCAAGGACACGGGCAGGTGTAAACACTTACGAGATCGCCTTGGACTGCTCACCAGGTGAGGTGGCCTGTAGCACTTGTTCGCCAATATAAAGCATACATCTTGAGTAGTGCACGCTACGGTTGACCGGGGTCTTGTATGGCTTTCCCTCGTGCTACACAATTACCCAGTCAGCACCGAAGTATGCCAGTCAGTATAATAAACCACGCACGAGGTTGGCACCCTTCAAATAGACACGGTTCGTGAATTTATTTATGCTCAGAACCTCATGTATGGTTTTGCGTGTGTCCCCGCGTATGCAAATTTGATCACCTGGAACGACGTTCCAGTATTTTATGCGGTCTTTGACGCGTACGGCCTTTGTGATGGGGTCGAACCATGTCTGTCTATTCTGGAAATGTTTTGGGACAGGGAGAAGGTGGCGGAAATCTCTAGTCCATGGAGAGACAGTAGTAGCTCTCTGGACCTGTATACGGGTAAGTGACATCGAGTCCGAGACTGTACACTGTGTTCAAGACAACTTGAGGAAAAGTAAGTAATGGCTGACTAAGCAACTTCATGAAAACGCTTATTCTCCTGAAGGTATCTCATGATGCACTTCAAAAGCAGCCTAACTCTAGCTGAGTACTACAGATATCGTAACGACATTGTGCACCAACCCCCGACTCACAAGCTCATTCTTGGCATCAAATTACAAATGCAGATTTATTTTGTTTCATTTTGTATCAGCAAATGACTGCGAGGTAGTCACTACTCTCAGGGTCTGATTGCCCACCGGGATCACAGGGCAACGAAAAGTAAACATTAATGTTACTGTAGTCTCCGTACGATTCTTGACCTGCAGGGAAAATTTCCCATGTTTCATCAGAAAGGCGAGGGTCCACGATTGATGTGCGATTTTTGTATTGAAGTCGAGATCCAGCAATAAAGGCTCGGTATGATTACAAGAGAAGAATGTCATAAATTACCAATGCCTCAACAAACCTAGCCGTCAGCTCATCGGTCCAGCTTTGGACCCGCTCCATGCTGTTGATGACGCGCTAGGTTCCTCCGATTCCAGCGTCTACAGCAGAAAAGGTGAGACATACAGCCAATACTCGAAGAAATGTAATCACCTCGAGCAACATCCCAATTACGTTGTCCACTTCCGATGGTTGCATTCCACCGCACCCTGCCCCAATCAGTTTTCTATAGTCTGCCATTCGTCCCCCAGTCCCCGCCTCTGCTTGGAATGACGCCAGCTCGTCAAACATATCTTTCCTTCGTTTCCTGTGCAGTCCAATCTCTTCTCGTAAGGCATCGCAGGCGGCTCGAATTGCTTCCGGATCCGTAGGAACGTCAGCATATAGCGCCAGCAGGTCCGAGATATCTTCCTCTTGGGGTAACGCCTTTCGCTTCCCTTTCCCTTTGTCTTTTCCAGGCTCTACGACTTCCTCGATGACGTCGTCCGTCCGATAAGGAACTGTCGCTGCTGTGATCCTTAACTCTCCATCAGCAGCCTTCCGTATCGACATTTCACGCTTCTCCTCATCATTTAGCCATTTCTCCCAGCCAAGACGATACCGCCTCCCCATTTTCTCAAGTAGCCGTCCTTCCAAATCTACAAGCACACTCTTAGCCAGCTGCAGCCCCTCCGCTTTCGTTTTGAGCTGGTTCACAGCCCGGTGACTCTCTAGAATTTCTTGTTGAATGTTCTGCAAGAGTGCATGTGCTTGTGTCATGTCACGTTCTTTTTCTTGCAGTTCGCGGTCAAATGACGAGGCGAGACTGTCGAGCATGCTCGTGATGTCGTTGACACAGCGCGTGCTGGCCTTCTGCGCTGCAACCGAGTGATGGAGCGGCGGCTTGTCACCATTCATAGGGTAGGCCAATGTCATGGCATTGGAGGTTGTGGGGCCGAGAGTCGCTTGGGCATTGCGGAAGGACATCGATGACAGGCGTGAGGTTGGGCCTGGAGATGAACGGAAACGTTCGTCCTCGAGGATGTAGTCTTCAGTGCTCTTGCCATCATTGTTGATGATCTTTGGATTAGCCCCGTGGTCGATAAGAAGTTTCACGAGACGCTTGCTCCGACACCGGGCAGCCATTGTCAGTGCAGTTTCACCGTCTTCGTCTTGAAAGTTGATGACATCCGCGAGTTCTTTTGGATAGTCAGCTAGGCGGTTGAGCACTGTTTCCATGTAGTACCGAGCGGCATGTGTCTTCCCCTTCGACATTGCAACATCGACGATGTGGTGAAACACGGTCCGGTTATAATTGTCGATGTTGAGTGTGGAACGATGAAGAAGTTCGTACAGCTCGGGGAATTTCCGCACATCATAGTTATTTGCAAACATGACACTTCGCATGAGTGCAGTCTGGCCTGCTTTGTTCACTTTGAATATTTCTGCGCCTGCTGTGATTAACAACTTGACAATACGTAGGCGGCCCATTGCTGAGGCCCAATGCAATGCCGTATGACCATCGTCATCAATGGCGGTGTTCGGGTCAAAATCAGGCGGTGGGGAAATGAGAACCTGGGGAACTTGATTTGAGTCAGAAATGAAGTACTCGAGGATTTGGTCTGCGTATGCGCGTGGGTCGGTGGCGCCGTTGGATTGCGTGGGTTCCTCCTCTGAACCCTCCTCATCATAGCGCTCATCTATGTGGCGCTGTGGCGGTTTTCGACGATTGCCACTGCGACGGTCTCTAGTAGCGTCCAATGTATTTCCGATGGGTGAGGGAGTGCGTGAACTTGACGAACCACGGGAAGGCGAGGATGTCATGGATCCATCCTCTGATGCATGAACGGATAAAATTTCGTGATCAGATTCAACTGGGGGTTCTACATTACGACGCGAGCGCGCAGCAGCAGCAAGGGCGGCCGCTGCTTCTGCAGCTGCAGCTGTGCGACGCGCGGGACGAGCCGCTGTACTTGTAGAGACGAGATGTTTAGGAGCCAGAGGCGGGCTCTTGGCTGCCGGCTGAAAATCAATGATGGGGCGCAGAGCAGCTTCACAGTTGTACTGTTTTGCGAGAGCGAGACCTCGTTCAAGAGGTATCCACGTTCCTGTAGTGGGGCGTGTTCTTTAAGTGATCACAAAAAAGGAGTCACGGAGATTGCATACCTTGGTACTTTCCATACCCACCCTGAACTTTTTCGTGCTCGCCCTTCTGGACTTCTCTCTCGAGCACGCGGGTCCGCTGAGGTTTGTCGAATCCTGCGACTTTCAGGATCTGAGTCGCGTTGAGCCACGAGTCAGCGCGCCGGCGCATAACAGCAACGCCCTTGCACATCCTGGGCGCGTAGCCATGAAAGAGGCTGAGACTTGAATGTGGAATGAATGACTCACATCTCGAACACGGGAATTCCACTGTAAGTTGCCTAAGGTTATGGGCCACAGGGATGGGGTCAGTGTAGGGCGGTTAGCGGGTAGCAAGTAGTAGCACCTTAAAAATCTGTCCCTCAGGCATGATGAAGAGAGTGAAACGCGTTTATGCGTGTGATTCCTGCTATCAGAACGATTTTGATGGTGGACCCTCAGGCGAGCTGGTGCTGACGGCGTCGCGGTTTCCGATACATACACGTGCTTCAACAAGAACAAACAACGCGATGTCATTCTCTCAGCACTGCGACATCAAAGGACTTCATAGTTGCATTCAATATCTGTAGAGAGCATGCTTATCACTGAATATCATGTACCATCGCTGCAGCTACAAACTGGCAACAACCACCGTGACAGTAACTTTGTTCAGGCTCTCAAGGCTGACCTGCAAGTTTTTCTTACAACAGTCTGAAATGCTACAGGACTGCACCGTGATGATCAGCTGTAGGCGGGTTTACAATGTCTCAAGAGTACGTTTCGACCGCCTTTGAAACCATTCGCGCTAAGATTCCTGGCAATCCATCACTTAGTAATGAGATCCGACTCGGATACTCGTGTTCTTCGCAAGTCTATCTCGATTCAGTTACGCCCGTGACCCCTTGGTATTGCATTTAGGCTTCCTAGTCTGTTCGCCTAGAATTAGATACTGCCGCACATTAATGCACACACACGTTGTTTAGCGGATTGCCTCATTGCAGACGCACTGTTTTTACCAAGGAGCTACTAGGATTATCCTTGCTCGACTCTTGGTGATGATCTCTTTATGATTCTGGAAGCTGCCTGTGGCAAGTGAGAGCAGTTAATTACTTTGACTGTCAAAGAAGTAGAACAAAAGGATATCATTGAAGAAAGCAAAGACCTGACGCGACGGTCACGGGACCCGTTTCCTTTTGTAAGGTGGTTCTTTCCTCGAGGCTTGATAGCGGCAATTGTTCCTGCCTCACAAACCGCGTCTTTCTCTCTGACCACCACGAGGCTTTCTACTGCTCTAGTCACCGTTCACAACAGCGAGCTCCTTTCATGGCACCAGCCTGCGCACCACTCTGTTATTTTGGAGAAAGGAAAGTCCGCTCACGACCGGTCATGTCCAATTTTCTGAATTAATCCTATCTCTAGACTTTACTTTACTACCTTCCCCTACCCCGCACCATCTCCCCAATCTCTCAATAGCACAGCCTCGAACTCAGGAAATGCACCAAGGATTCGCCCCCAACCCCACATGGGTGCACCACTTGGTCCTTCAGCCCCCTCCCCGGACGATGACGCAATTTACTACTACTTTACAATTGATGACCAACTGCTCTACACCTCATTTTATCAGGATTGGGGCCCGCTAAACCTCGCAATGGTCTACAAAGCGTGCCTCTTAATTCACGGCCTTTTGAAGGTACGCGTCCAATTCTCCTCGATCGTTTGCACGCGATCATGATCGCCACAGGATGAAGATCTCAGTGCACACCGTCTCGTTCTCTATTCCTCGGATGATCCACGTCGTAAAGCTAATGCTGCTTTGTTGATGGCCCTGTACATGGTATGGCCGTCATCTTACAAAATCCTACCGTATTCACCCCCTTTCAGTTGATCGTCCATAATTACACTCCATGGCGCTGTTTCCAACCCATAAGCGAACTAGAGTTCATGTCCTTCAGAGACGCAGGACGTGGCCCTTCAACCTTCAACCTTAGCATTCACGACTGTTTGTGGGGTTTCTGGAAAGGAATTCAAAACCGCCTTATCGACCTGGATACTTTCGACCTCCAAGACTACGAGTTCTATGAAAAGGTCGAGAATGGTGACTGGAACTGGATAACACCCAACTTCATCGCATTTGCTTCACCTAGAGATTATGCGTGGACAAAACAGAGGAATGAAATCGAGACTGCTACTGCTATTGCAGTTCCTGCATCCCCTGTGCGACCCGGTGTGGCTTCACCACCAAAGTCGCCTCGCAAACTTGCTCTACAACGTAAACTTAATTCCGCTTTCTGCAATTGCCTCGATTATTTTGAGAAGCATAAAGTCGACCTCGTCGTTCGTCTCAATGCAGAGCTCTACGATAAACAGCTATTTTTGGATCGTGGAATCAAACATCTCGATCTTTGTTTCGAAGATGGGTCAAACCCGTCAGACGAAATCGTTCGCACTTTCATTGATGTGGCAGACGCCGTCATCGAGGGCGGTGGGGTCGTTGCTGTACATGTGGGTTATTTCATATGTATTTTTGCTTCTGTTCTAACATGTTTATATGATACTCAGTGCAAAGCGGGGCTCGGTCGCACCGGATGCCTCATTGGAGCATATCTCATCTGGAAGTATGGCTTCACAGCATCGGAGGCGATTGCGTTTATGCGCATTGTCAGGCCAGGTTGTGTTGTTGGTCCACAGCAACATTACATGCACCAGATGCAGCTTCAATGGGCCAAGTGGGCCGCTGCAGATGAGATACGACGCTTGCAGGCAGCTGCAGTCACAGCCACCGCACATGTTGTGACTCCTGCTACACCTCCTGCGGAACAAGACGAAGTCATGCACGAAACCAGGTCGTTGACGCCACCCGCAGCACCTCTACCCCTACCACCTGTCACCCCCGGTCGTGCTGTCATAGCTGCGAGGACGCGTGAGACGCCTCCTCCCGGACAGCCACGCAAGACGCCTATGGCAAAACGAGTCGCTATTGAATCGGACGAAGAAGATGTGGAGATGGATGATACCCTTCCTGCTCTTGGAGCAGCACCACCCGTTGCCCGGCCTCGCGCTAGGACAACGACTCGAGTCTCGGGCGCAAGAGGTACAGCGTCCGAACAACGCCCGACGCGGGTGTTACGGTCATCCGCGACAAGCGTACATCAGAAGACTACTGCCGCCAGAAGCAGTCGAGCGGCGGCTCCACCTCCTAACAAGATACCCCGATTGGCTGGAGGTTCAGCGGCCCGGAGTACCGCCGCCGCAAGAGGGCCTGGTGCCCCATCAGCGCGCCGTGTACCCCAACCCCCTTCACCTACCCCTTCACGATTACCGACGCTCACCAAGAAACATAACCCTGCACCTGGGCTAGCAGAGCTACCAACCACGCGGTCAGGTAAACCTGAATCGTGGATGAAGGCAGGAGCATCTGCCATCGTCATGCCTCCTTCCAAGTCTTCACAACGCCCTGGTCCACGACCCGTTAGACGGAGAAGAAGCAGTTTTAGCGCTGCAGATGTCGTTGCATAGACACCATACCATTGAATCTGTCGCAAGCTATATCCTTGCTTTCTTGCGTTCATGTTCAATCAGTTCTCGCACTTTTTATTATTGACAATGATCATTTCCATTTTTCTTCTGTATTTAATGGTGAATTTTTCTCTGGCGTTGTATAGGCTCAGTATCTGCACTGTCCACATTACCCCCAAATCATCCATCCATCGAGCATTCATATCGTGTAGCTTTGATCTCATTTACCTTTCCGTGCCACTTGTCTTACAAGAAGGCACTATGGAATGATATGCGAGAGCAGGTGATCTCGTTCAAGACATCCTGCCTGCTAGCAGCGTGAATGAAGATTCTATTGGTACAATTATAACTTCTTTTGCCCCTCTCCCGCGTCATGAAGACGGTACTGCCGAGTACTTGTGAACACACTCCAGGAAGAACTTCATGTCCTCTGGATCAACCCCTGGTGTGATGCCATGACCCAAATTCGCAATCCAAGCTTTGCATGCACCGCCCCTAGCATCATGGAACGCACTGCACATCCTCTTTACCTCACGCTCGATGGCCTCTCTGCCACCATAGAGCACCACGGGATCGAGGTTGCCTTGCAGAGTGATGGTTCTACCATCAATGATACCATCGGTGACCTTGGCAACATCCCGAGGGTCGAGCGTCCAGTCGAGACCGATGGTGTCGTATCCTGCGCTTGCAGCGAGGGATGGGGATGCGCCTTTTGCAAACAAGGTGAGAGGGACGACAGGAAGTTGCCGGACCTTGAGACCCTCACGGACTTCGTCCGCGATGCGCTTCAAATATGGCAGAGAAAACGTAGAAAAGTCGTACGGCGACAAATCTCCAGCATTCGAATCGAATACCTGCAGGAGCTGTTGGTAATCATTGTTCAGCTTCTGTGATCCGATACGCGATGAGACAGACGCAGACGAACCTGTGCGCCAGCGTTAACCTGGCCGATGAGATACTGCACACAGATGTCTGTGATGCGCTCAAGGAGCTGTTTTGAAGCCTCAGGGTATTTAAAGAGCCACGTCTTTGATTTTTGACGCGTCTGGCTTCCGCCGCCCTCGATCATGTACATCATAAGTGTCCATGGCGCCCCGCTGAAGCCGATGAGGGGAACCTGGCCTGCAAGTGTCTTCCGCGTGAGGGTGAGTGCCTCGAACACATATCCGAGCTCTTTCTCTACATCCACCTCCCGGGGCAGCTTCTCGACGTCCGCAGGCGTGTTCAAGGGATCAGTGAAGTGCGGGCCCGGGTTCATAATCACTTCCATACCCATGGCCTGCGGCACTACGAGGATATCGGAGAAGATGATGGCTGCATCGAGAAGGCCGGCGTACCGCCGGATAGGCTGCATGGTGATCTCTGTTGCGAGAGTGGGCGAGCGGCATATCTCGAAGAACTCATGGGTTTCACGAGTTTTTCGGAACTCTGGTGCAGGTTATGGTGGATCGGATGGAGAGGTTATCTAGACGACGTACCTGGGAGATATCTCCCTGCTTGGCGCATGACCCATACAGGTGCCCGCTCGGTCTGTTCGCCGCGAGCTGCGCGGAGGAGCAGGTCGTTTGTTAGAGTCGGAAACTCTTGTGTCATTTTGATGATCAGGTGAAAAAATGACTTTTGTACGCGCCAGATGCCAGCGAATGTGGTTTGTGATGAAAATAAGGAGGCCCAGTTAATTCGTTTGGGTTTGGGTGCGTACGTATTATCCTGATCATGAACTTCTAGATTCTGCTTATGTCCGAATCGGGGTCTTTATTTCCGAGAGTCCTTCTCACCTTCACCGTCATCTCGTTATCTCTCAGCGCCTAGTATGCGCCCTTTGTATTATGACCATCACCAATCCGACTCAATTAATAGACGAGTAAGTCACTTTGTATACTACCGGGGTAATACTTAAGAGCCACACCACAGATTCAAAAAATCGGGCGAATTTGACCGTCTGAGACGTGATCTCCTATCACATTTCCAGCGCAGTGTGAGTTATCATCCAATACATACGTGGCACAACCGCTTACCCTGCCTACAGGAACGCACCGAGGGCTTCAAGTCTCGTGTCGATGATATAGCCCGACAACGGCTATTTTCTGACCCAAAATTGATATCCATGCCCAATGATGCTATCCAGCGTGAACTGTTAGGGGAAATCGACCGGTTCGTCCGCTCATCTCCACTTGGTCAGTACTGATGACCGGGCCTACTTTTCTCAGCTACCCTATTGTCGAGCGAGCGGTAGTTGATGCTCCTTTATTATCTGATCCATCATTCATCGCCGGCATACGTGCTTCACTGGAACGTACCATGTCGGCAGGCAGAAGCGAAAAGAACAATGCTACTCCAAGTGAGCATTTACATGTGTGCTTTGATGGTTTCTTGACTGGGATGCTAGGCCAGTCGACGCCAAACCTGCAACCATGTGATTCGGGCAATCCCAGTTTCAATGCAGCTATTCCCCAGCTAAATGACGCTCTGACACCTTCGGCGGTCCAGAAAGAGTGAATTTGTCCATTGCAGTCCTGGCATCTCTATATATAGTCTGACTGGACACTACAAGGTTTGACCACGCCCTCTGCGCAAGGTAATGTGCTCAGACCACCAACTGCAAGCTATTTATTTATCCCTTCTTGACTTATTTATTCATTACAAGGGATCGTTTGCAGTTGGGAGACTAACAATCCAAGCAAAATGAATGATAGAATCAGCTAAGCTTCAAGAGTCGTGACAATGATAGGCGAGTATTTCTTCGATTGTTGTTGAGAGAAAGCGCGCATACTGTGGTTCGGTAGGGTATCAAAAGACAAACAGGATCGAGCTCAGCATGTCAACGCCGCAGCTAGTCCACTTCCGTGGAAAGAACTGAGCAAATCGGTACATTGACAACACATTGATGAGATGTAAGTTGTTTTGAATGGTGCTCGCCATGATGAAGTGTGCGCATGATGTTCCTATTAGAAACGAGGCTTGAAAATAAGGGAGATGGAACAATCGTGACATTTTTTTTTTTTTTTTTTTTAATTCAATTTTATTGTCCGCTGGGGTCAAGGACCCTATGTTGGACATAGCCCTAAACGCGGGGGGCTTGCTCCCGCCTATTCTACTGTAAGTATGTGTGTATGTGTATGCTGTGGTTTCGTCAATGGTAAAACGCGTACTCTGTCAGCTTGATGTCGGGCAAAGGCCGACGCTGATTTCGTACAGAGGGAATGGAGTGGTGCGATGGGGGCTTGGTGAGAGGCCGCTTCTTTTCCTACAATGATGTCTCGACCGGCGAGACGTTTCCCCTCTAGGCTCAGAGATGATTAGGTTTGGTTTAGGTTGATTAAGTGATGTCTTGAAAATATTCGTGCGAGGTGGTGATACACTGTGAAGCAGGTGATTCGTGTGAGCTAACTTATTTGTCCGAAATCTCACCAAACGTTGGCTTAAATCTGCCTGTTTTTCCGATGTAGCGCATGAGCGGCTTGGTGGCTTCTTCAGCTGTGAGGATAAATGAGATAGATGTTGCTTGACGGCGGAGAGTGTTGGCGAGTTGGTGACGTTCTTGTGCGTATTGCGGACAATCGAAGAGGTAGTGGTGGACGGTTTCGTCTATGCCGGGGCACATTGGGCAGTGGGGTGAGTCGTGCTTTCCTATGCGGTGTAAGTGGTAATTGAGGGGGAGGTGATGGGTGCGAAGTTGGATGTACACGCTGGCTTTGCGTTTCGGGAGTAGGGCGACGAGTTTGATGAATTTGTTTGACGGCATCGTGGGGTCTATGTTCTTTGCTCTCGCGTGACGCGGCGATTTCCTCCATTGCTCTTTCCATCGTCTGTTCATTGCGTCGTTGTGCCATTGCTTTAGTGCCGATACGCTGTCCGGCAGGGGATCATTTCTGAGGTATGTGGGCAGTTGCCTTGTTGCGCTACTTTGGTGGGCTCCCTCCGCTGCCTCTTTTGCTGCTTTGTCCGCTAACTCATTTCCAGGCACTCCTGCGTGGCCTGGTATCCATCGGACTGTTAGACCGAAGCCTTCCTCTTGTTCTTGTCTGCGTTTGGTATCGTGACATTGGAATAGAGACACAGTCAATGTGATTTCCTGAATTATTTGCCGCCCACTGGCAGACTCGATTATCAGTGGCACTATCAAATTCAAAGTTTGTGCATGTAATGAATAAGAACCTGCGCCTCTAAACGCGACGTACCATGAGCTCGGAACAGCAATGACTTACTGAGTCGGAATTGGTACTGAATATGTTGAGCAAACATGCAGTGAATGTTAATGAGCACGCAACACGTGTTTCAACTTGTCTGCCATGGCCAAATAATCATGTTATATTTGCATTCCCATTGGAATGATGAGTGTGTCGGATATTATCCTGAACCGAAAAGGGGGAACTTCTTCACTCTGTGAGATGGTGGACCTAGCATTAGCAGTCTGTCAGCGAGCTGTTTCGAAGACGGTTACGATTGCAAAGTATGACCGAGATGTCAGATATTGAACACAGAGAAGAAATACTCAAGTATGCTCATTAGGAGGGAGGTGTCAGACAGACTAATCGTCATAGACCGCAAGCATTTTTGGAAACAGTGCATGCATAGGCAAGAAAACATGAATGACATCGTGATGTGACGCCAGAATCTTGTGATGTAAACTGCAAACTATTCGGGCGGATCAGATTTATATAGCAGGTGTGAAGATGGCTACACACAGCGAGTACACTCCTGTGTTTTTCATCTTCGCGGCCTTAGTAGTTGGCGTCCTGTCGAATGAGCGCAATGGCCGTTGTAGAGCGAGGCTTAATAGAACACTTGAAGGGTTTAAGGTGACTACGAGTGTGTTGTATCCAGACCAGCGCGGGACACGATAAGCTGGGCAACATACCTGATCGAGCCTGGTAAGTGGTCAACCTCAGGGGTGATCTCAATACCATTCTCGATAACCTTTGAAATGTCAAACACGGCCAGTGACATCACGGTGGATATTCAGATGGAGGCGTCAGCCAGGTGGAGCCCTGTACATCGAAAGTCAGTAACATCAGGATCCTGGTTTGATTATCGGTGCTTCTGTGACTTGAGCATACCTGGGCAGATACTGTGGAGCAGAAAGTTAGCATTCTGCCTCAAAACCAACTTCATGTTTACCGTCTACCGAAGCAGAAGCAGATTGTGCGAGGGTCAGTTTCAGGTTCCTTTCCATCCCTAGCCAAGAAGCGGTCAGGTTCAAATTGCGAGGGGTTAGCATACGTCCGTGGATCATTGAGCATGAACCTGTCGCAATGAAATATTGAACTTTGCTTGGATATTGAAAAGGGGTGTACCGACGAGAGGTTAGGCATTATCAAGGAGCCTTTTGGAATATAGTACCCGTCATGCATATCGTCCTCAGTCAAGCAGTGGGGGAAACCGTACCCTGTCAACTGAACAATGCCATGGACAGGAACCACATACCAGCGGGGACAACAGCATGCCAGCGCAGTACTTCTGTGGTAAGCGCCGCGGTGTAAGGGAGAGAATCTCTGTCGGCGAAGGAGGGAAGGCGATTAGAACCGACAACAACATCTATTTCGGCCTGAGCCTTCTTTTGCACATCAGGGAAAAGGGTCATAGCTAGAAAAAGCGAGTATATCGCAGAAATTGTCTAACCAAAACGTTTAACCCAGTCATTGGTGGCGTGATTACCCATTGTAACGAGATGAAGCCAAACATGCCGCATGAAACGCAAAATGCAAATTATGATAGATAAGTCTAGTGTGAAACTCGCCGGCGAGCGCCCATGGCGAGGCATATTTCTCTACTATGTTCATCTTCGATTGATCGAGTGGCACTTAGTAGTTAGCACTGTCTTGCTGAATGAGATGAATGGAGGCTGCAGAGCGAGGCTTGATTGAGTATTTGAAAGGCTTCGGATGGCTAAGAGTGCATTTATCTAGACCAGCACAGCGGACGTCATAAGATACGCGACTTACCTGACCGTGCCTGATGAATGGGAGTCGGGAGGAATCTCACACCGTTCTCGACGACCTTCGAGACGGCCAGTGACCTTGCAGCGGATAACCAGATGGAGGCTTCAGCAAGGATGATACCTGTAAATGAACAAGGCAACATCAGAATACTTCTTTTTTGGCCGGTTTTGTGCGTTGGACTTACCCGGACAGATATATACTGGGTAGCGGAAAGTTAGTATTCCTCTCAAGATACACTCCATACTTACCGTCTTCCAAAACCGAAGCAGATCATGCGGGGCTCCGGCTCTGACTGCTTTCCATCATTGGTCAAAAAGCGTTCAGGGTTGAATTGCGAGGGATTGGCATATGTCTCCGGGTTATTGAGCATGAACCTGACATATTCCATGAACATTCGCGATGCTAGTAAGATGGGCCTCTGAGCACAACAAGTCTACCACGAGCTGTTGGTGATGTAGCCAGAAGTAGCCACTATGGAGGTGCCAATCAATGAATAGAGAGCCAAAATACTTGGGTGTGCTCTTGACTATGGGGAAGAGGTACCATACAGGCTTATTGTCAGGAAGCGTTCTTGATGCCAGAGTGTGCACTGTCAACATGAAACAAGAAAAGGTGTGTAATTGTATCGCGATGTGACACCTCCCACAGCAAGTACTTCCATCAGCTTTGTAGTTCATTTTTACATACTTAATAGTTAACATCCTGCTCAATAAGCGCGACGGCTCTTGAAGAGCGAGGCTTAATGGAACACTTGAAGGGTTTAGGGTGGCTAGAAGGGCATATATCCGGATCAGCGCCGGACGGGATCAGATATATAACATACCTGATTGTGCCTGACAATGGATCAACCTCAGGGATGATCTCAATACCGTTCTCGACGGCCTTCGAGATATCGAACACGGCCAGTGACATCGCAGCGGACAACCAGACAGAGGCCTCAGCGAGGTGAATACCTGTAGACGAAAATGAAAATGAATTCAACGTCAGAATATAATCTGAGTCGGGCATACCTGGGCAAATACTGCAGAGCAGAACATTAGCACGGCACAAAACCTTACCGCATGCTTACCGTCTTCCAAAACCAAAGCAGATCGTGCGCGGGTCTGTCTCAGGCTCCTTGCCTAAAAAGCGTTCAGGATTGAATTGCGAAGGGTTAGCATATCTCTTCGGGTCATTCAGCATGAACCTGCCATTATATTTTGTTCAAACATCGAATATGGCAAAAAGAGTGTACGGACCAGATGTTAGTCATGACCATGGAGCCTTTTGGGATGTAGTACCCGTCATGGATGTCGTCCTGAGAGACGCAGTGAGGAAAACCTGACGTTGAAATACCGCTTGGCAACTCAATAATGCGTTAAATAAAATACACAAACCGGTAGGGATAACAGAATGCCATCGTAGGGCCTCTTTAACAAGCGCTCTGATGTAGGGGAGAGAGTCTTGGTCGGCGAAGGAGGGAAGACGATCAGGACCGATGACAGCATCTATTTCAGCCTGAGCCTTCTTCTGCACGTCAGGGAATAGGGTCATAGCCAGGAAAAACGCATGTATAGTAGAAACAGTCTGGGGGAAAAGTGTGGCGCTCTCAGAAGATGATTGTCAGAAATATAGAGCGAGGGACCAACTGTGTCAGAACCGCCGGCGTATAGGGTTGCGGCAGACCATTTCACATTGTGCTCGTCTTCAGCTGACAAACTACCACCTCTCAACAGATTCGATGTGAAAGACTCCGGGGCAGTGCCAGCAGCCTGTGAAAGTCAAACTTCAACGCACATTCGCAGAATTATAGATGATTGTCACCATCTGATCCACGACGAACTTGTACGGTGCACAAACCAATTCTTCAAGGTTGTCGTGCCATTTGCGGGCCAGACGCTTGAAGCCAGCACCGGGGAACCATTCAGGGACCTTGATCACTAAAAGTGGTGAGGCCATTTGAAGCAGATATCTGAATACTATGGCTTACAGAATGGTACAAAATCAGCCAGGAAAGCACCAGGAGCGGTGGCACGCGACCACTGGTCCAGAACGCGGTCTGCAAGGTCAACGAAGGGATCGTCGTTCTCTTTCACCTCGTACCCATGAGAGATGCGCAGAATCACAGCGCCAGCGGTGCTATAAAAATCAACATCGTGTCGATGCAACGATAAATGATACGTACTGTCGAACATGCGCCTGCAGTTGATCAGGTTTCGCGAACACACGCTTGAGGAATCGGTGAGTCTCGACCTCCTCGACCTGGTTGTATATGGCCACAGCGGCGCGGGTGCCAATGACGCTGTGGAAGTTTTTGCGGTGCCGGCGTAAACGGTCGCCATAAGGGAGGAGAGTCATAGCATTTTTGTAACCAATAAGATCACCACCAACAGGAAAAATAGGACGGTCAGAGTAAATAGTGCCCTTGTTGTCCAGCATGTCCACTGCAATCTTGACAGAGTTCACCACTACGATGTGTTGACCCAGAACATTAATATGTGAAATGTCACCTGTCGACAAGACATTGAAATGCAAGATTGTGTGAAAGAAGAGATACTCACCATACTTATTGCCCCACTCTGTGAAGGTGAGCCAGGGCTTTGTGTGGGGCATGTCCAGGACGTTCCCGATGAGAGGCCACCCCGGAGGACCAGGGGGGTACGGAGGGTTCTTCTTGTTGAAGACCTGCTTAAGCAAGTATACTCCGACACAAGCAAGGCATAGGTCGAGTCCAGTGATGTTGGTGCGGGCCAACATGATATACTAGGTAAGGAGGATCAACTCGAGAGCGGGTTTGTAGTGAAACTTGAAGCTTTGAAGGATCAGATGAGAGGAGAGTCACGAGGATTCATTATTTGAACAACATCGGCAGGGAATTGCTCGCCACCATTAGGCCCACTTCGGAAGGCTATGAAATTTGAATAGTTCGGTGATGAGTACTAGTGCTGTTACCAGTCCGAGATTGTTCGCCTCCGTACAGCAAGGTACGAGCAAGACCTCGTTCACCGCTCGGAAAGTTACATAATAAGTCCTCGCTTATAGCCGGTATGCGTCTGAAGTACTTAGTTCCATCTTGGTTCTATCAAGCAGTGTATCCTAGCTATTGCAAGCCCACTATACAGGGGCTGGCCAACCACCATGTTTTGAGCGTAGTATGTATCCTGTGAGGTTTCCGAGGTCATTCTTATCGCCAGCCGAACAGTAGTCAGGGGGCTCTATGTGTCGCCTGAAGTCTGATGCGAACAGTTCGGCCTTGCTATAGAGCATTCATCTCAAACTGAAGTGGCATGATGTGCCGTTTTCGCTATTTGACATTGTCCACTTCTTTAACACACTCTCCCCTTGAAGCGTCTATCGTGCCGAACAGTTGTCAACAACGTGCAGGTACAGCATAACCTGAACTCGAAACCACTCTTTCATCATGCTCCATCCTTGTCGTTTTGCTTCATCACACTATCATGCATCATGCCCGATAGCGATACATCAAAATTGAAGGTGGGTAGCTCATACCACCTTCGTATCTGTCTCGTGATCCTCACTACACTGATAGTTGTCAGCGGGCCAAATTTACAAGTGCCTTCTGAGTGCGTACTCCACCACACACTGGAAATTAACCATTGGAGTCTTATTGTCCGAATTCTATAGCGTGGGCCGATACTGTGTACAAGTTCATTGAAACTTTCAGACACAACTTGAGAACTGAACTTCTGTTTGCAGATCATTAGATTGGCATCGCCTGCATTTTCATTACAGATCAGGGCTTCTTTCGAGCTCGTTCGGAATGCTGGGCAATGGAGAAAACTTGAAATTTCATGGAAATGAGACTGTTGGCTATTCAATCATGCGCATATACTCACATCTCGTAGACACCTTCCCGTCCGTCCGTCGTGTTCACCCTTCTCTTACGCCGAATGCCGTTGTTCTACATCATCGCGACATTCAGGACAGCGCCCTGCTTGACGTGAGTGTTATCAGCCTTTGTGGTGTTGGCATTCGTTGACAGAACACCTACTCGGTGTCGGTGAATGCCAGATTGCTCGGAACACAGATGCTGGTCATGAACGATTTGCCACATACGTGACAAGGAAGACGGTCTCTCACCTGAACGATACCATACAGCAATTTCAGTTGGTCCTGGACCAATGTCCGGTCGGCTATCCTGACCAGGCAGCGGCTCTCACCAACCTCACGTGGGTCTGCCTCAAAGGCTACATTGGAAAGGATCTCTGAGCCATCGACTCTATCTCTCTCGCGAAGCCCTTGCATCACTCCCGCAAGGCCAGTCTGATTATCCATTATCTATCTATCACTTCTCTGAAGCGCTGACATGGCGCTACCGCAAGGAGCGCACCACAATCTATATGCACGAATCCGCGCAACTGTCCTGCAAGCTATTGCCACTCTGTCCAGAGGGCACCTTCCTCCGTAGCATCTTGGCAGGGGCAAATAGACGTGATCCACTGATGCAACAATCTTCCACCTCACGCATCCAAGGAAGCATCCACCTTCGAGGAGTCGTGTTTGAGCTCTGTGCTCCGGAAAACAAATACTATCCCAGAGCCTTCCACGAGCTTGCACAAGCAGTGGAACGACGCTTCAAACAATGCAGTACCATTGATGACCTAAACGAGTGCATACAACATCATTGTGAATTTGTTTCTCTGTGCTCCGAGGGACACCCTTCACGTGAAACCTGCCTGAATAACTTGCCTGCTCTGATCACTGAACCAACTCTCATAACCTCAACGAAGCCATCTCTTTGTACGAAGAAGCACTGCACCTGCGCCCTGTTCCTGTTGGGCACATGTGTCATGATTTTCCATTGAACAACCTAGAACTCGTCCTCCTCAATCGTTTCAACCAACGCGGTGATGTTAACGACATCATCATCAGAACCTCAGCCTCAAGCTCGAGGCAGTGACATTACACCCACCTGGGAATGCGTATCGTGATTTCATGTTCAACAACTTTGCTCTCGCGCTCAAAACTAGATAAACCAAATCGGAAGTGAGCGATGATCTCAACGAGGCCATCGACTTGTGCCAGGATTCACTTCAATTAGAACAGCATGGCCATCTCAAAGTTTTCGCCATTTGAGCTCGGTGTTCTGTTCTCGTTTCACGCAAATTCAGAGCAATGAAGATATTAAGGAGGCCATTAGAGTCACTAGAGAATTTGTAGTCACTGCACTCGGAGTCTCGGACAGATATTTCAGTTATATGCGGCTGAAGAATGCATGTCTTATTACCAGATCAGCATTCAAAATTGCAC